GCTATTGTAAATAACGCTGCTATGAACATAGGGGTGCATATGATCTTTCCGACTGGTGTTTTGGGGTTTTTAAGATATATTCCCAGAAGTGGGGTTACTGGGTCAAATTAAAGTTCCATTTTTAATTTTTTGAGGGAACTCCATATTGTTTTCCATAGTGGCTGCACCAATTTGCATTCCATCAGCAGGGAACTAGGGTTCCCTCTTCTCCACATTCTCCTCAGGACTTGTTGATTTTTTTATGATAGCCATTCTGACAGGTATGAGGTACACCCTGGGATAATGAGTACATCCTGTGACTTAACACAGGTGTGAGGTCATAGTTTACTGTGGCTTTAATTTGCATTTCTCTAATGATTAGTGACTTTGAGCATTTTTCATGTCTCATGTCCATTTGTATGCCTTCTTTGGAGAAATGTCTATTCAGGTCTTCTGCCCATTTTTTAATAGGATTATTTGTCTTTTGTTGAGTTATATGAGTTCTTATTCTTTTGGTGGAGTCTTTAGGGTTTTTCTATGTTTTGGATATTAATTAAACCCTTATTAGGTGTATAATTGGCAAATATGATCTCCCATAGAGTGGGTTCCTTTTTCGTTTTGTTAATGGTTTCTTCTTCTGTGCAAAGCTTTTTAGTTTGATGTAGTCCATTTATTTTCTCCTTATTTTCCTTTGCACAACATATTGCTACGAGAGATATCTGAGATTTTATTGCCTATGTGTCTGTCCATTTTCCCCAGCACCATTTGTTGAAGAGACTGTCTTTATTTCATTTTATGTTCTTGCCTCCTTTGTCAAATATTAACTGACTATAATGGTGTGGGTTCATTTCTGGGGTTTGTGTTCTGTTCCATTGATTTATATGCTTATTCTTGTGCCCGTATGTGGCTGTTTTGGTTATAATGGCTTTGTAGTATAGTTTGATATCCAGTATCGTGATCCCTCCCTCCTACTTTATTCTTTTTTTAAGATTGCTGCAGCTTTTCGGGCTCTTTTATGGTTCCATATACATTTTTGGAGTATTTGTTCTAGCACTGTGAAGTATGCCATTTTAGTGGAGGTTGCATTGAATCTATATATTGCTTTGGGTAGTATAGACATTTTAATGATATTAATTCTAACAATCCAATGACATGGTATATGCTTCCATTTGTTTCTTCCTCTATTTCATTTTTTAATGTCCTACAGTTTTCCAAGTACAGGTATTTTACTTTCTTAGTTAAGTTTATTCCTAGGTATTTTATTTTTTTTGTTGTTGTAATGCTTTTTTAGTTTCTCTTTCTTAAAGTTCAATATTGGTATATAAAAATGCCCTTGATTTCTGGATGTTGATATTGTACCCTGCTACCTTGCCAAATTCATTTATTATGTCTAGTATTCTTTTGGTAGAGTTTTTAGGGTTTTTCTATGTACAATATCATGCCATCTGTGAATAGTGATGGTTTCACTTCCTCCTTTCCAGTTTGGGTGCCTTTTACCTCTCCTTCTTGTTTAATTGCTGTGGCTAGGACTTCCAGTATTATGTTGAATAAGAGTGGTGAAAGCAGACATACTTCTCTTGTTCCTGTTCTTAAGGGAAACACTTCTGGTTTTTGATCATTGAGTATTATGTTGGCTATAGGTTTGTCACATATGGCCTTTATGATATTAAAGTATGATCCCTCTATTCTCACTTTACTGAGAGTTTCTATTAAAAAAAATGCTAGATTTTGATGTTTTTTTAAAAATATATATTTTATTGATTTTTTTTTTTTACAGAGAGGAAGGGAGAGGAATAGTTAGAAACATCAATCAGCTGCCTCCTCCACACCCCCTACTAGGGATGTGCCTGCAACCAAGGTACATGCCCTTGTCTGGAATCGAACCTGGGACCCTGACCCTTCAGTCAGCAGGCCAATACTCTATCCACTGAGCCAAACCGGTGAGGGCTGGATTTTGTCAAATGCTTTTTCTGATCTATAATATTTATATGACTAGGTGGTTTTTATCTTTTGTTTATATGATGGATCACATTTATTGATTTGTGAATATTGTACCAGCCTTGCATCCCCGGAAAAAATCCCACTTGGTCATGGTGTATGATATTTTTAATATATTGCCAGATCCGATTTGCTAATATTTTGTTGAAGATTTTAGCACCTGTGTCCATCAGGAATACTGCCTGTAATTTTAATTCTTTGTAGTGTTTTTATCTGATTTTGGACTTAGGATAATGTTGGCTTTGAAAAAAAAGCTTGGGAGGGAGAGTGTTCCTTTTGGATTTTTTGGAATAGTTTTGGAATAGTTAGCTGTTCTTTGAAGGTTTGGTACAACACCCTTGTGAAGTCACATGGACCAGGGATTTTGTTTGCTGGGAGTTTTTTTTTATTAATGCTTCTATTCCCTTAAGTCATGGGTTGGTAAAGGTCTTTCTCATCTGCTGGGTTTTGTTGCTGTTGTTTGTTTTCAGTGAACTCTGGGGTGAGATCCCCAGATGAGGGATAAGTAAGGAGTATGGGATGTTTGAAAAGAAAGGTGGTATGAAAATTCTGAGTGGGAAAATAGATAGCTAGAGAAATGTGGTTGAAATTTGGGGAAGTATTAAATCTCATTTGAGATATGTGGTCATGGTTTAAAGTGAAGCCAGCTAGCAGTGATTTCATCCAGTTCTAACACAATCAGTAAGTAGTTGGGATGTATAAGATTTAAAGTTTTACCAAGTTAAATTCAACAGGAAGGAGAGGTTAATGGTGAGTAGGTTGGGAAGCGAAGGGTGATGGATTGGACGGAGGTCCTGAAGAATTATCCAACTGGACAAGTTGAGAGAATAGGAAGTAATGATTAGAGACTAAGATCAGAGGGCTTTACAATTTTTTAAATGATACAATAAGGCAATTGGGGCTGGAAGTCAATTAGCTTAATGCAGTGATTGGCAAACTGGCCACCTGAGTGTTCTAATGCCACTTCTTCAAAATAGACTCTCCCAGGCCAAAAACCAACTTCTGCACATGTGCCACGAAATTTCAGTTGCATTGTACCTGGTATTTTGTGGAAGAGCCACACTCAAAGGCCCAAAGAGCCGCATGTGGCTCTCGAGCCGCGGTTTGCCGACCATTGGCTTAATGCCTCGGTAAGGCAGAAGTAGCTGAATAAGCAGATTAGCCCTTCTAAAGGTAGCAGCTGGGACTGACTCCCGAACTTGGTTTACTCTGCCAAGAGAAGTAGCAGGATGGGAGAATGAGGAAAGGGAGTATAAGACAAGCTATCCTGCAGTGATTGTCAGTTGTCTCTTGGACCTAAGGTCAATCAATGGCTTTTCTTGGAGGTTCAGAAAAGTTAAAGGTGGGGATTCCTATGTAAGATGTGCTCATGTTGCTGCAAAACTCCAGCACCAGGTGGTGGTGGTGATGTAGGTGGGGAGAGTAGCAGCCAGTTCCTTTAGTATTAATTTGCTCTACCTTGGATTCGTCTTTTTAGGGACTAATTCTCTTCTTGACCATGTAAGGGAGGGTTTCATTGTTTTTGTTTTAAGAAATCCCATCCTATTGCATTAAAAGCATTGGGTAGAGATGTTCTCTAACATATTGGAGAACTTTTTTTTCTTTCTAAGTTTTACATGTGTCCTTATCCCCCCCATTGTCCCCCTACCCCTTACCCACACTCAGGCACTCACCCCCTGGTGTCTGTGTCCATTGGTTAGGCTTATATGCATGCATACAAGTCCTTTGGTTGATCTCTACCCCTTACCCCCACCCTCCCCTACCTTCCCTCAGGTTTGACGGTCTCTGGATGAACAAAAACAGATCCATAAAACTTTTAAACTTAAATGTTTTTCCTGTCATCTGGGATGGCGAGTACATCCTGTGACTTAACACATTACCATCCAGTAGTTTTATTGCTAGCTTTACCCAGTGGCCAGGTAAGTTTCTACTAAACGAGTACAAAAAACGTTTTACATAAATGATAAAGGCATGCTTTAAAATTAAACATCCATTGCATTTTGAAGTTATCACATTCTTAGAAGCTAGTATCTTTTTAGCGTATTCTCGTGATTGGCCACAAGTCTTAGAACAGAAAACATAAGAATGCTCACGATCCGTCTGCAATGTGTTAAGACGATCCCAGGGGTCTGTTGGCGGCCTCCCATTTGCTCTGTGGAAGAGAATGGGTAAGAATTATAGCCCTCCAGGCTGATCAGAAGGCTTTGAGAAATGTAAGCCTTACTAGCAGCCAGGTGCTGACATGTCCTTCTCAATTAACCATTAAATTACTTCTTTTAGACCTTTTAAGTTTGCTTTATTCAGAGAAGCAACCTCACCTGTGAAATCTTCCAAGAGGTACTATGAATCCTGTAGCTGTTTCCTGAGATATTGGTGCTTTGTCCTAGGAATGGAGGCACACGGACCGGAAAGAATGTCCAGAGAACCTAAGAATGGATGCTACCATTTCTAAATGTCAGTCCCCCTGGCAGGGCAGTGGCTGAGCACAGAAAGGTGAGCTGAAACTGAAGTGAAGGTGGGAGGGGTGAGGCCTGGCACAGGAGGGGAGAGCACAGCACACTGGGAGGAGCACGGGCTCCCAATGCCCAGGAACCAGAGGCAGGGCTCGGAGTAAGACGCTTAGAACTTAGGTCTTAGTTTGGAAATCTTTAAAGAAAGCAATGACCCATCTATAAATTCTATTAGGTCTTAAGCCCTGAAGTAGTCCAGATGAAAAGCACAGTATCACAGGACCTGAAAGTGGCTGCTAACAGAAACGTCGCTGGAACTGAGGTGAGTGCTACTTTTTATGACAACATTGACAGGATAACTGATTTAATGTGAGGGAACACGTTGCCAATATTGACGCTGTGAATCACTAACTCTACTCGGAGGGTCCTTGGCACTGGCGGAGCTGTTGAAGGTACGTTTTTCTTTACCCTAAGCTGCCCCTAAATTTATTCCAGTGGGGTAAAATTAAAGGAAAGATGACTTGAAAAGTAATAAAAAATATTTTAAAGGTGTTCAAGTTAAAACTAGACCAGAATATTTACATGTTTTATTAAATCTTTACAATCAGTAATTATAATCAGATACACATTTATATACAGGATTATATACATTTTGCCCAGACTTTTACATCACAGTACATAGTTTCCCTTAGAAATAGTGTATACATTTATCACCAAACAATAAAATCCAACAACAGTAGTGTTACAGCACCTGTTAGTACAGACATCTTATCTTTTTCATAAATTACATCATAAGAAAATATACGGCTGTAAATTGGGCTTTTAAAAATGTCTCTTATAAAATCTGAACATACAATATTTCATTCATAGAATGTTTTTTTCTAGTTCTGACTAAAGCCTTGTGCAGAAAACGACCGGTTGGAATATTCACTAAATGCCCCCACCTAAAAGATTATAAGCACTATTTAAATTACTTATGCTGAGCTTTCTTTATGGTGAATTTGGCATGGGGTTTGGTGAGAGAACAAATGCTGGTTTTACTATGAAAAGGGCTGTGTGACAGTAATTTAAGACAAATTCTAAAGGGAGTAATTAGAATATCAGAGTGTGCACAATTTTTCATTTTACTCTTTAATACTGTGAAGTAAAAAGTATGTCAAAAACTATTTGTTCTGCAATAATAACTATGTTCTTGTTGGAAGCCTATTAATGTTAAAAAGAAAACCTATCCCACACCAAACTAGTAAATTACAATTCTTTCACAACTAAAACTTTATGGCAAATAAAGTATTGCAAATAAAGGGTATATCATTTCAATCGACTCTGTATCAGAAAAAAACTACAGCTATTTTTAGTTGGTAAACAAGTTAAACTTAAATACCTGAATTAAATACTTGCTCTAATAACTTTCAGATAAAAGCCTTACTTGATTCCAGGTTTGTAAACATTGTATAACTCCTTCTTAGTCAAACAATTTTATGGCTGTGGTGATCACTTCAGCTCTATTTCTATGCAGTCAACATTTAACTGAGGTAGACCAGATGTTTCTAAAATTCAGGGTTTCTTAGAATCCCCTGAATACTTAAGAAGTAAATAAAATCTCTATAGAAGGTATTTTTTTTAAAAAACTCTAATGCTGTTGGAATTTTTCATGAACTGAAAAACAACTTCATGGCAGTATGTCAATTAAGAAATGTAGAGGCAACTGCAATGTTAGAGTTATACTTGACTTTCCCCCATTTAATTTTTTAAATTTTCTTTCCTGTCTTAAGGATTCACTTTTCTAAACAAGTAAGCAATTTGCTTCTAGACCTCAAAGAATGACAACAACTCCCCCTAATGGCCAAAGGAAGGTAGAGTGGCAGTGAGCTGGGGAGAAAAATGTTTCAATAACTTAGAAAGTGAGATTTAAACAATGGCTCTGAGCAAATCACAAAATATAAGACTTCTAGAATCAGTATTAGAGGAACATCTGCTCCCTTTCGCCAAGCCCCAGTCCTATAAATCAAGGCAAGTAATTAAGCTTTAGCTATTTTGGCAGCTTTGCAATTAAGGTGAAGAAAACACTATGTCTATCCTTTTGTGGACTGTATGTATTATAGTTCTACTTAACGCCAAATTTCACATGCAGTGACTAAAAATATCAATTTTGGTGACAAATTAAGGGTCAATAAAGATCTTATATACTAATCTACACACACCCCAAGTGAATTCTCTATTAGATTTATGGTTACTGACCCAATTAAGTTTAGCTGGAGTTTCTGAAAGCAGCGATTTTTCCTCTTATAAAAGAATACACCTACCTGGATCTAAGACACACTGTACATGTATATACACAAGTACAACACAGCACTGCTGTTTTTAACAGCTTCATACACAGTTTCAGTTCATCAGTACCTCAAAACTGTCTTAGGAGGTTATATGTAATGTCTATGTAATGTCATGGTAAAGAGAAAGAAAATTAAGACTCACAAAAACTATGCCTTTAGAACACATTCAGGTAAATTTTTAAAAATAAATAAAGCCATGATTTCAACTACAGGACTGTCTACAGCTATCAACAAAAAAATTAAATGTGGCCAGCACCAGACTGCCACCAAAAAAAAATAGTAAGCTATATGGCTGCATGTTAGTCGGTACTGTGTAAGTTTTCTACACAGGTTACCATTCACTAATTTTCAAGTCTGTATCAGAAGGAATATTTGTTTTAAAGAAAAAGCAAATTTAAAAACCATGATTCAACAGAAAATGTGGCAGGCTCCTTAGGTACAACTTTAGAAACTATAGTTACCACAGCAGACCATGGCTTCCCAAGACAGAAATGGGACAAAATGTATTAAGCTATCAGTCACCTGGGCCTTGTGGCTCAAAATGCATACTAAACCTGGGATGGAGTAAGGCTGATGACTAGAGGGATCACCTCTAAGAGAAATGAACGGGAAAATGTTTATCATTTACCCTATAAGGACCTAGCACTATGTTCCACTTCAGAGTAGTCACAGCTTTCCCTGTGAAGGCCCAATGGCAAGCTCATATTGCAACAGTCTAGTTTCTCCCTGGCTCCATCTTTCAAAAGCATTATGTAACCAATTTCCACAATGTAGTAGATGACCTTTTTACCTGGTCCCACTGTTTAGTCCTTATGCAGAGAACTCACTGAGAAAGCACACTGGCTTCACCTTTGGTTTAAATGAAAAGGACATTGTTAAGGGGGGGAAATCAAGTCATTTTGATCATCTGCAACACCATGAAGCAAGTGATGAGCAAGACTCTGAACACATTTGCTTCATAACCGCTTTGAGTGTTTCTGTGAAGGCAGCACAACCAGAAGGCCCACAGTACGCTTGTTGTTTCCCAGAAGACACTCTAACTCCCAAACCTAGAATGTCAAGCTTCCTTTAATTAGGAAGCAATACAAATTCCTACTCCACACCCCACTACTAACCGGATTGGTTTGTCCAGAGCCTGCAGAAACCTGGGTCCGAGGCGCGTCCGGTAGTCATCTCCTGGCCAGGGTGGTGCGGTGCTGCCATCGAGGGGACTGTGAGTTTCCATTTCTCAGGGGACACGCTTGAAACAAGGTCAGTTCTAACATAGCAAGCTCCAGGCTCCTATGACAACCAGCTATCCCAGTCAGAACGTGGCTGCTCGTCACCATACTAAAGCCTCCCTCTGGAGAGCCTGCTTAGTGTGAGGGTGTCCATGAACCACAGTTTACCTACTCTTGTTAAATACCTACCACTGGATTCTCAGTGAGTCATAGTTCACCCTTCTTCTTCATCATTTCCTTCTTCAGCTCTCTAATTGCTTTCATATCTTCTTTCCAGTCTGCTACTATGGGATGTAGGGGTTTAGAATCTTGCTTAGAATCTTCCTCAGTTTCTGGTTGTTCTTCTTCATCTTCATCGAAATATGTACATTCATCATCAAAGCGTACATACCCTTTGCTTTTTATGGGCTCAGAATCCTGCTGGGAAGGAGAAGCATTGTCTGTAGTTGCTGGAGATGATGATTCTGAGTGAGAGTTCAGAGAGCTGTCCTCTGGAGACTCTCCATCCACCTCGGGAGGGCCTGACGTGGTCTGATCAGCACTCTGAGGCTCATTTTCCATTTCAGGATCTGTGTGAAAAGAAATGAGTTCCGTGAAACTTTTCCCCTAAAAAAGATTATCACAATCAAATGAAGAAATAGTTTTTTAAAAAATATTAAACAGTAATATTATTGCCTTATAATAATGCGATCACATTTTTCTGCACATTAATCTTGCAAAATGGGACAAGGAAATAAACATATTTCCAAATAAGACTGCCTTCAAGGGATATGAGTAAATGCCAAGATATACACTAGATAATAATACTATTAAAGTGTGTATATTTGCATTATACCTCAAATTTATTAAATATCTAAAGTCTGGGAAGCTTACACATGAGAACATTAATAGAATTTTAAACAGCACATGTCAACAGTACATGTCGTTGATATATATATATATATATATATATATATATGTAACATATTTATGTATGTAACTTTTTTTCACTTTGAAAAGTGAAATTCCCACTCAGTAAGCCATGAAAATGCAGATAATACAAAATTTTGGATGATTTAAAGGCATTAATGTGATTGGTTAAATAACTCATTTTTGTTAACTTTATGAAAATATTTTATCTGTTTATTTTTGTTGGTCTAAGAATATAAACTAAAATCATCCTAAAATCCACTGGAAGGCTGACTAGTAAGTTAAACCCTCTTATAATGAATACATGATGAGGGTTCTGACAAGAAAGTGTCTAAATAGCATCCACGCCCAAGGGCTGCACCACCCCGTCTCTGCGGTAGGTCAGCAAATAGCTCACTGTGCAAGGTGCTAAGGATAAACAGGCAAAAGCAAACACCATTTATGCTCCTATGGATCTTATCAGCTGGGAAAAATGACATTTCCAAAGAATCACAAAATAAATGGAGAACTCTGACACATGTTCTTAGTGCCACTATAATCAAAACAACATGGTACTGGCACAAAAACAGGCATATAGATCAGTGGCATAGAACAGACAGCCCCGGCCCAAGCCATTACGCTCAATTAATACTTGACAAAGGAGGCAAGAACATATAATGGAGTCAAGACAGTCTCCAGTCTCCTCAATAAATAGTGCTGGGAAAATTGTACAGACACATGCAAAAAAAAACACACAAACAAACAAACAAAAAAACACCTGACCACCAATTACCATCATGCACAAGAATAAACTCAAAATGGATAAAAGACTTACATGTGAGCCTTGAAACCATAAAAATTCTAGAAGAAACCATAGGCAGCAATATCTGGTATTTCTTGTAGCAATAGGTTTACAGATACATCTCCTAGGGCAGTGGTCGGCAAACTGTGGCTCGTGAACCACATGCGGCTCTCGAGCTGCGGTTTGGCACTCTGTTGACTAATGAATTTGTCGACTGGGATAGGGGCTTAATCACAAAAAAACAACAGCCTGTAATTATTGGAATCAGAGTCTAGGTCAGTGGTCGGCAATGGTCAGCAAACTCATTAGTTAACAGAGCGGCAAACCACTGTGGTGTGGACCTAGGGCAAAGGAAACTAAGAAAATAAACATAAAACTACATAAAAATAAACTTCTGTACAGAAGAACAGATTTGGCAATGATACAGCTGCTAAAGGGTTAATTTCTAAAATATAGAAGGAACTCATACAACAGGAAGATAAACAATCCAATTAAAAAATGGGCGAAGGACCTCAATAGCCACTTCTCCAAACGGGCATACAGATAAGAGACATCTGAAAAAAATGCTCAAAGTCACTGATCATCAAAGAGATGCAAATTAAAATGATAATGAAGTATCACCCCTCACATCTGTCAGAATGGCTATCATCAAATGGCATGTTTTGGCAAGGATGTGGAGAAAAGGGAACCCTAGTACACTGCTGGTTGGAATGCAGAATGGTGTAGCCATTATGGAAACCATTATGGAGTTTCCTCAAAAAGTTAAATATGGAACTGCCATTTGACTCAGTGATCTCACTTCTAGGAATATATCCTAAGAAACCCGAAACATCAATCAGAATGTATGCACCCCTATGTTCAAAGCAGCACAACGTACAATAGTTAAGATCTGGACATAGCCCAAGTGCCCATCAATAGATAAGTGCATAAAAAGGCGCTATGGTACATTTACAACATGAAATACGATGCATCTGTAAAAAAGAAGGCTCTCTTACCCTTTGAGGCAGTATCAAGGGACCTGCAGAATATTATGCTAAGCAAAATAAGCCAGTCTGAGAAAGACAAGTATCACATAATCTCACTCATATGTGTAATCTAATGAACAAAATAGATTTGGAGATGGAGAAGCATAGAACAGACTTTAGAACCTCAGAGGAAAAGTGGAGAAGGGTGGGTGTAAAGAAATAAAAAAAACTTGTATGCATATATGCATAACCCATGGACACAGCCACCCCTGTGATGGCCTGAGGTGGTACATAGTGGGGACAGGCTAAAGGGGGCCAATAGAGAAAGAGGGGGGACATATGTAATACTTTCAACAATACAGATTGAATTTCTAAAAAAAGGGAAGAAAGGAGATTTGAATGTTTCCTTCAAAAAGTGACACTTGAAAGGTTATTTTTAAAGTGACATTTGAGCTGAGATTTATAAAATGAGTGGAATTAGTCAAAGGGAGGGAAGATGGGCCAATTCTAAAACCAAAAAAACTGAAGGAAAATACAGGCATGCAGGCAGGTATAGGTGGGCGGCACATATACACCAATTGATTAGGTAGATTACCTGCCTAGGGAAGTTTACATTCTCAGGGTGTATATGCTGGTGGTGGCAAGGAAAGGGGGGAGGAGGAGAGGTCGGAGGAGAGAGGGCCCAAGCATTCTTTCTCTTCTAAGCTGGGAAAAGGATGCATTTTAACTGAGACAATTGGGGAAAATTGGGGTGCCCAAGGAAGAGGAAGCAGGGCTGCCGAGACTCATGATGCTAGGGAGAATAATAATAAACTTTCAGGTTTGTTTCCAGTTGGCAATAGTGAAGAAGGAAAGGGACAGGGGAAGTGCCATGTCTTTACTTAGGTAAGACAAAACAATTAACCTAGGTTACCTACTATACAACATTATCTTAGAAATCTAGCTAACACAACAGGACAGCAGAATAGTCATTGCAAATATAGGAAAAAGAAACGTCAAACTGTTTTTAGATTGTGTTGTATACTTAAACTCAAAGCAACTCTTAATTTTTAAAATACTATTAACACAATTTGATAAGGTAAAAATAAAACATATATACCAATAATCCTTCTATAGTAGCAATAGTCGTTAGAAATAAAAGTTAAGTACACTTTTCATAATAAAAATAAAAGCTACAAAATATAGAACTGAATTTATTATGAAAGATACGTGACCCATATTGCTTACCACTATAAAATCTTAATGAAAATATAAAAGAAGACCTGAATAAATTTACAAGTAAGGCTAAGTTCCTGGATAGAAAGTCTTAATATTTAACAGAATTTTCCCATTTTTATGTGAGTTTAGGAATGGTATATCAGAAACAGAAGCAAAAAAAGAATGATTAAATGTTTTTAATCCTCACCCAAGGATATGTTAATTTTTTAGAGATAGAAGAAAAGAGAGCAAGAGAAACATCAGTGTGAGAAACACCAATCTATTGTCTCTCATCCCCACCCTGATGGGAGATAAAACTGGATACCTTGTGGTATATGGGATAATAGTTCAACCCATGGAGGCCCCTGCCTCAATTACTAAGTTTTAATAATGAAAGGACAAGGGAACTTTGGGGGGAGAGACTCAAAGACTGGATGTCCTACAGTTGTTCATTCATCTTCACAACCAGCTAGTGACTCTTTACTGAAAGCAAGGATTACAGAGATGAGCAGTAGGCGAAACAGCACAATGTGATATAAACGTCAACGTAGAGCTATATTAAAAAGATGCCCTCCAATTTTACCGCGAGAATAAGAAAATTTCATAAAGAAGATGCCATTCAAAATGGGTATTTTGCATGGCTAAATGTTCTCAAAGAGAAAAAAGACCAGGGGCTTTTAGGGATTAAGAAGCATTTCTAGAAAGAGGAAAGTGACTTCGCAAATTTAAAAACGCATGAGAAAAATGTCATGGATGGACGAAGAGGGTAGGTACCGTATTTTTCAGACCATAAGACGCACTTTTTTCCCCCCAGAAGTGTGGGGGGGGAAAGTCCCTGCGTCTTATGGTCCAAATATAGCCTACACATATACTTTTTTAAAAAAAAAGTTTTTTTACTTGCCCGGCTCTGTGTGGTCTCTGTGTGCTTGCCTGGCTCTAAAATGGTTCTAAATGCTGCTGTTTACTTTACAGGGTTGATTACATGTGTTTATGACTGTGATGTTGGGTTTTAATGCACATAGAATATTTTAGGACACTATTTGTTTCAGAATCTTTTTTTCTTCATTTCCCTTCTCTAAAAACTGGTGCGTCTTATGGTCCGAAAAATATGGTACCTACCAATTCCCCTAACAGGAATGGTTCTGGTGCTACTTTCCTGCAATAAGACCATCTGCACTCAGACTAGATTTTTCTCCTCAGAATCAACTCCTTTCCCACAGCAACCCAGCTTCTGCAGTCCAACCTCAGAACATGTTTAACCCTTTGCACTCCGCTGTCCCCTCTCAGGGGACATGGGAATTCTAGCATATCACTCGGATGTCCCCTCTCAGGGGGGACATTGCAGTTAGTGATTACGGGGAAGTGAGTTAATTCAACACACGTGTCCGCCACAAAGTGTCGAGTAGCTGGTAGCCAATGTCCAGAATGGTTCGGAGTGCAAAGGGTTAACCCGATCAACTTCAGTGGGAAAGGCTTAGGAAAAGTTGCTAGCACTGCCAGTTCAAAGCAGGGACCTTTCTTTTCTTTCCCCATTTTCTCTGCCTGCCTCTTTCTCAGACAGACACAAATACAGGAGTAGCCATGACATGTCAAGGCTCTGTGGGCCTACCTGCAAACTGCAAACATAATAATGTACTGAAATTGCCAAAACTGGTTTGGCTCAGTGATAGAGTGTCAGTCTGCGGACTGAAAGGTCCCAGGTTCGATTCCTGTCAAGGGCATGAACATTGGTTGCGGGCACATCCCCGGTAGGGGGTGTGCAAGAGGCAGCTGGTCGATGTTTCTCTCTCATCGATGTTTCTAGCTCGCTCTCTCTCTCCCTTCCTCTCTGTAAAAAAATCAATAAAATATATTTAAAAAATAATAATGTACTGAAATACAGGTCTCTTTTTTCCCTTGATAAAAGGAAACTGATTCTTAATTGTAAACTATTTCAACTTGGAGCTAAAGGCTAGAAACAGGGTGTCTTTTGTTTGTGGGCACGGGATTAGAATTTAGCATTAACAGACTTCACATTTTGGGAAGACGGGACACCTGAAAGACACAGTATTAAAACTTCTGTGGATACAACATTCCCCCTTGATAAATTACTAAGTCTTTACTTCTGTGTACAGTAGTTCTTATTTACAGGAGATACATCACAAGACCCCTAGTGGGTGCCTGAAACCACCCAGAGTGCCAAAACCTGAATGTACTGTGTTTTCTTCCTATACATACATATCTATGAAAAAGTTTACTTTATAAATGAGGCACAGTTAGAGATTAACAATAACTAATAAAAGTATAGAACAGTTATAACAATATACTGTAATAAAAGTTATGTGAATGTGTTTCTTGTTGACCTGGCTACTAAGTGACTAAAGGGCAGGGAGTGTACACAGCATCAATATGCTAAATGATTCACATTCAGAACAGCAGGCAATTTAAAACTTAGGAGCCGTTTACCTCTGAAGTTTCCCATTTAGTATTTTTGGATAGTGGTTGACCAGAGGTAAGTGAAACCATGGAAAACAAAACTGCAGATGAGAGGGAATCCTGTAGTAAGGAATCTGAACATTCTTATTAGCAGATAGGACTATTGTAGATGTAGTTCTATATTAATGGCTGGGCCTTATCATCTGAATCAGAAGGTGGGGGTGGGAGGGGGGGCTTGTTCTGGGGCTTCTATTTCTGTATTAATATGTGGGAAGAACTGCTTCATCAAAACTATGTGACTTTATAAGGGAAATACGTATTTGTGGAGTGAGATTTTTAGGAAGAGCAATCTGAAGGTCATTTTATTGCTCAGATTTTAAGGATGCTATTATTCTGACATAATCCCTCGATGGTGCAGTATGTCCAGATACATAGCTGGGAATTAAAAAGGGACACCCCTTCTTGGTCATGCTCAGTGTTTCTCCAAGTGTACAACTACCTGGGATGCTTATTTAAAATTTCAGATTCTGATCCTCGGCCTTCAGAGAGTCTGATTCAATATTCTGTAGAACTCAGGTATCTACACTTTTAACAATACAGTGGCTGATTCTGATGTGGAAGACAAGCATGACGTATGCAGTAATGACCCAGGACAAATAAACAATAACCACTACCATCATTAACTTTTTAGGGTGTTTCCCTAATAAAGTAGTTGATTTCAAAGAACTATTATCACTGATTTTTTTACATTGTATTAACAATTATACTGCAACTTGCTGTTGATTTAGCTGTACAGTTCTTGAAAGAGCTACACAAGGGGAGTTTTCTTAAGACTTTTGGGCAAAAGGTCACTAGATTCTGTAAATCACAGTTCAATAAATGTACAGACTATCCAAATTTTAAAATATGTACTACAGTATAGTTAAAATAAAGATCCTTTACTTAAAGGTTCTTAAGGGAATACTGTTCAGGTACATTGTTTTGGTAGTAGTAGAACTTATCTTTTCGTATATCCTGTTCTCTGTCATGGGAAGCACATGCTTTTAAATAATCTCATAGTCCTAACAGCATGCACCCTGACAAACATATGTGTTTTAAAGAGTTTTTACTATATTCAAATAAAAATTGTTCAAAAGTAATACATCCAAAACAACAGTGTCTTTGTTAGTGACTCTTGCACAGACACAAACTAGTGAATTCTTAATCCATGGGATATTTAATTTACAGAATTTGTTATAACAGGATCAATAAAGAATTATACTATACATGAAATAATCTAATTACATCAATCTAATCAGATGCTATTGTGATATGCACTGAACCAAATTTATATATATGTGTATATATGTACATGTATGTGCACGTGTGTGTGTGTGTGTGTGTGTATACACACATATATATAGATAATTTGAGGCCTATTAAATGAAGATACTTACTACTATTAATAATGTAGCTTGGAATCATTTTACCTTTTAATATTGCTGCTGAAATTCCAATGGTAGCAAAAAAATAGGAGGGAAAAAGCAAAGGTATTAAAGAGTTACATGGAGTAATAATTTGCCTGTTTGATGTGCCTAAATGCATAAATGCAGGAAGAAAGATCTGAGTTTAGAAAAAGGTTTCATAAAAACATCAGGTAATAGGAGAATCACAGAAGATTAGAAATCCTTTCTATTCTGCTCTGTTTCCATCCATTATATCCTTACATACAAGATACTCTACTGCTCTTAAATAGCAGACATGTGAAAGAACCTCAGAGAAGAATAAAGAAACACAAAAGGACAAGACAGAACACTAATTTGGCTAGCAGTAGATTATTGCTAAATTTTTTTTTTTTTTTTACTGCTCCACTTGGAAGTTAAACAAACCAGTATACCGTATTTTTCGGACCATAAGACGCACTTTTTTCCCCCCAGAAGTGGGGGGGAAAAGTCCCTGCGTCTTATGGTCCAAATATAGCCTACACATATACTTTAAAAAAAAAAAGTTTTTTTACTTGCCCGGCTCTGTGTGGTCTCTGTGTGCTTGCCCGGCTCTAAAATGGTTCTAAATGCTGCTGTTTACTTTACAGGGTTGATTACATGTGTTTATGACTGTGATGTTGGGTTTTAATGCACATAAAATATTTTAGGACACTATTTGTTTCAGAATCTTTTTTTCTTCATTTCCCTTCTCTAAAAACTGGTGCGTCTTATGGTCTGGAGCGTCTTATGGTCCGAAAAATACGGTGTGTGTGTGTGTGTGTGTATATATATATATATATATATATATATATATATATATATATATGTGTGTATGTATGTATATGTATATGTGTGTGTGTGTGTGTGTGTGTATCAAACAAACATCCCAGGGGATTCAACAACCCTATAAAAACTATACAACTTTACCCATTTAAGAGGGATGGGAGGAGTGTAGCTCTCTCTCTAATGTCTCTGGTGGATAAGAAAAACTGCTACCAAAACAAGATCACAGTCTACATTGGACAATCGATTCACTTTCCCTCATTTCCCTATTCCTGGGTGTGAAACTATAAAACAATAATAGTAAGACATTGCACTTATACAGTAATTTGGGTTTCAAAGATCTTTCAAATTACTCACAAACATTTTTGGCCTAGAGAGGAAGAGATACTCTCATGAAGTAATAAGGCACATGGGAATGTCTTTGTTCTTCAGACATCACCATTTGCAATTCTTGTAACCTATAAACAGATCTTGGTGGAGAGAAGCTGCTGGATTTCTACTGCTTTCACTACAATTGTGGTCATTTGATTATAGGTGGCCTGGTGAAACCCCAATTACTATTATGTTGTATACAACACCATTCTACACAATCTCTTTGTACTCCTTATAAAAGAAATATAAGATGCAATATTACAGAAATTGAATGGTGAACATCTGTGGATATTAAAATGACTCTGGATGTAACCTCTTGTATTATCATCACTGGGCAGAATCAAAGCAGAAATTACAAATTACATATGCAATTCTAAAAACATCTTAACTTTGCAAACGAAGCCAAATAAATGTTTTACTACTCTTATTTCCAAATTAAAAATATATTTGGAAATCATCTTTTAAAAATTGTACTTATTTTACCAGTAATCCAGAAATAAATTTTTGTCACTCACTTTGTTATGAAGCCAGTAAAATTAGTGCTGAGCTGCATTAAAACAAATGATTTTATCCTTACCTCGGTCTTTTGCTTTGTCAGAAAGAAGCACTTCCACCTCCTCGTATTCCCGGATAGCATCCAAGATGATACTTCCTTCTTTACTGAATAGGAATAGCATAGGGATCTTGATGTCATCTGTGTCCTTTCCGTCACCTGCCATCTGGAACAGAGGGGCAGTATCACTGCTGCTTCCCTCATTGTCATCTAGACACAAACACAAATTTATCAATCAAAAAGGTTCATCTAGCAAATGCTACTGTTTTGTACCTATTGGTCACAATGATTTTATGCACCAAGAACCATAAAAACAATAAACATACTTTTTGGACCCATCAGTTCTATCCTGGGAAATAATTCAAAAGAAGCAAAATGATCTAGGCCCAAAGAAGTTTATTGATCTGCTTGCTAACGATAATTGTGAACTCTAAACTATTATAAATTATAGTGAACTACTTAATGGAACACTCAGAAAAACAAAATATTACAAGAAAAGAGTGTAATATAAAAGTCTATGATTAAGACAATAAAAATTTTATATGCTTATGAAAAAGCCTAGAAATGGAAAAATTCAAAGACCTGGTTGGATGACAAAGATAGAACTATAAATAAAATTTTATTGTGCTTTAGAATTCCTCTGATGGCATAATCTTCCTTTACAAAATTATAAGTTCGTAGTTCTTATATACTAGTCACTAAGAATAATTATGACTGTAAAGTTATCATTCAGAATTGAAGGGCAGATAAAGAGCTTCACAGATAAGAAAAAGCTAAAGGAGTTTATAACCACCAAACCAGTATTATATGAAATGCTGAAAAGGTATTCTTTTAAGAAGAGGAAAAAGAAGAAAAAGTTCAAAATAAAAATTGTCAACAACAAATACATGTCCATCAACAAGTGAATCTAAAAATCAAGTGAATAAAAAAATCTGATGAACAGCCGAAACCGGTTTGGCTCAGTGGATAGAGTGTCGGCCTGCGGACTGAAGGGTCCCGGGTTCGATTCTGGTCAAGGACATGTACCTTGGTTGCGGGCGCATCCCCAGTAGGGGATGTGCAAGAGGCAGCTGATTGATGATTCTCTCTCATCGATGTTTCTAACTCTCTATCCCTCTCTCTTCCTCTCTGTAAAAAATCAATAAAATATATTTAAAATAAAAAATAAAAAAATCTGATGAACAGAATAAACTGATGAATATAATAGAATCAGGGGCGTAGAAAGGGAGTGAACTGACAATTATCGGGGGGAAAGGGATGTGGGGGGTGTGGGAAGAGAATGGACAAAAATCGTACACCTATGGATGAGGAGCGTGTGTGTGTGGGGGAGGATAAGGGGAGAGGGTAGGGTGGGAACTATCAATAGATGGAGGGGAACTATGGGGGGGGGGGGGAATTGTAATAATCTGAATAAAGATTGAAAAAAAAAAGAATACTTTTTCACTGAAATAAATCCTAATATTTTAAATGCCTTACTTTTATTTATCCTAAATTAAAAAAGGAAATCTTTTCTAATTAGAAAGAAAAAATTCAAAACGGATTTTCCCCATGAGAGAAGCTATGCAGAAGAACTGTGCAATTAGGATGTGACCTCAGGTCTTTTAGTTCTTTCTAAATGTAAATTCCTTCCTACTTGAAGCATAGAAAATTATATATTTTCCCTGGTGGTCATGGCCTGCTTGTCATGATGTGATTTCCTACAAAAAAATAAAAAATCAAAGCACACTGGTTGAAATGAATGAGTGAAATTATTTAAAGTTTGTAATTTCAGAGGGGAAAGACCTAAGGAGATAAAAATTTACTAGCAACTAATGCTTATACCTATGATATGCCAGCTATTATGCTAAGAAATTTTATATTGCCGAAACCGGTTTGGCTCAGTGGTAGAGCGTCGGTCTGCGGACTGAAAAGTCCCAGGTTCGATTCTGGTCAAGGGCATGTACCTTGGCTGTGGGCACATCCCCGGTAGGGGGTGTGCAAGAGGCAGCTGATTGATGTTTCTCTCTCATCGATGTTTCTAGCTCTCTATCCCTCTCTCTTCCTCTCTGTAAAAAGTCAATAAAAATATATTTTTAAAAAAATTCTACTGAATAAACAGATAAACTAAAGCTGGGCCAACATTACACCATGATTTTGTGGCAGAGCCAAGAAGTGCGCCCCCAGGTGTGATTCCAAAGCCTGACTGTTGGAGGCAGAATGGGTATTTTCAATGGCTCACGGGAGGTGGCAGGATGTAAGTCTTGCCCTCACAGGGCTTTGGCTCTTGTGGGCACATTTTCTTATTCATGGTGTTTGGTGATTTTACCTCTCCCCCTCCCCATCTTCACACCTGTCGGCAAGTACTTTTACTGGCATTAATATACAGAAACCCATCTCTACACTTTTAAAAAACAAAAGAAACCTACAGAAGTTATTAAGAGAGCCATTGGATTACCTATTCATTATGCTATCCAGTGAAATAAAAACACAACAAACATTTTTATATAATTTTGGAAAACAAAGGGAAAAAAATCCTAAAAATTACCTCTTTCTAGTCAACAGAATGATGCTGTTGCGGAGGATGACTTACCAATGACAATGCCACCAATGGCTCCAGCATTCTGGATGTTGCGTGCCTTTTCTGCAAACATGCACTGTCCTCTTTGTAGCAAAGCAATTTTTCCCATCACTGCCTCGGGGTTAGTAAGCTCTGAACAACCATTGTATGGTTTACTGCTTGCAACAAATCCTCTTGTCTGTCAGAAATAAAAGTGACTTCAATATTCTTTTATCTTCTCAAATCACTATCTAGTTCTTAAATAAAATTCGATATATAAAATAAAGCTTTAGGTATACCTGATCTCTTTACTAATGATAACACATCCAGTATATGTATTTGAAGTAAGTTTTGTTTTGAACATTTTGCATGTCATAGTACCACAACCAATATTTCTATTTTGCTTTGCAGTTTATAAAGCATTTTTACATAACTTAATAAACCTGGTCTTTATAACAGCCTTGAATGATATAATACAGATAATAATTCATTTTATACATAAAGAAACTGAGACGTTACATAATTTGCTCTAAGTCACAATGTTAATAAGTAAAGTTATCAGCAGCGGGGAACCACTAAAAAACAATCACTGGTTAACAAGAAAAATTCTTTAAGAGAGAAAAAAAAAAATAGACTTAGTCTACATGAATCCGCAAGTAACTTTCTTTCTAGAAAAATTAAATGAACCAAAAAACTTTCTTAAAGATATTAGTATAAAGATGTTTTAATATTCCCCTAGAATATCGATTTTCAACCTTTTTCATCCCATGGCATAAATTACTAAAATTCTGTGGTGTGTCCCCCCCACACACACACACACACACTCACAAAAAACAAAAAAAACCAACTTGCCAATCTGAGAAGAAATAAGTATAATTTTGATTCATTCACACTGAACAGCTATTATTGTGTTGCTGTTATCATTTTTTAAATATATTTTATTGATTTTTTATAGAGAGGAAAAGAGAGGGATAGAGAGTTAGAGACATCAATAAGAGAGAATCACCGATCAGCTGCCTCCTGCACACTCCCCACTGGGGATGTGCCCGAAACCAAGGCACATGCGTCCGACAGGAATCGAACCTTTCAGTCCTCAGGCCGATGCTCTATCCACCAAGCCAAATCGGTTTTGTGTGTTGTCATTTTTTAATTTGACGATCTAAGGGAAAAGAGGTCAGTGCTCCTGACTAGTCAGATACTGCATGATTTAAAAATTCTTGCAGCACACCAGTTGAAAATTGCTACTCTAGAATGTAAACTACACAAGGGAGGGGTAAGTTTTCACTGGTTTTGTAAACTTAATAGGTTGTAAACACCTAAAATAGTGCCTAGATAATGTAGGGACTCAATAAAGAGTTGCTGAATAGATGAGTCAACCTATAAAACTGAAAAGCTTTCCAATACACACTACATTTAGACTAAATTAGGGGTAACAGAGTTCAAAGAGCATTGTCATTAGATTATCAGGATACTTGGGTTCTGGTTCCAGCTCTGCCACCAATTAATATGATGAACTTGTGAACTGTTCAACTGTGTAGGTCTTTGTTTCCTATGTCAAAACTAAGAGGAGCCAAATCTGGTTTGGCACAGTGGATAGAGAGTCAGCTGTGGACTGAAGGGTACCTTGGTTGCAGACTTCACCCAGGCCCTGTTCGGGGTTCATAGAGGAGGCAGCCAATTGATGTGTTTCTCTCACATCAATGTTTCTCTCTTGTCTTTCCCTCTCTCTTCCACTCTCCCTAAAAATCAGTTGAAAAATATCCTCAGGTGAAGATTAATGAAACAAAATCTGAAAATATTTTAAAATAAAGGTACTAATTTAGAGACCAAAAATTGGACAGTAAATGACCAATAATTTAAGTAAAATCTTATAAACATATTATAGATGTACATTATGACTCAACATTTACAAGACAGACTTTTAACTTTTATTCTGGGAAAGTGAATATTTAGGTTTTTTAAATCAATATTTAAAATAGGTCATTTTTAAATTAGAAAATAGACTAAACCTAAATAGAAACTAAGAAATTTATTATCATACTTAAACAGTATTTTTAACTGAGTTTCAGCAAGCACATGATAAACGTACACACCTCTTTATGTTTAGACAGGTCTAGCCCAAACTGAGCTGGTCCAGCAGTCAATACTACCCTGCCAAAAAATGGGTGGGAAACAATTTGTACAGCTCGGGGCGGTAGCTGCTGTTCTTTCTGTTGCTGACTTGACAATTCAATCATCTCCTGCATAAACCTCAACCCATCTTCAGCATCAATTGAACTAGCAGCCTAGGAAAGAAACAGATATTTTATCCCTTCTGGAAACATTTAACTTTCTTTTCTTTTTAAATATTGAACTTTAATACTGTTGTGCTGGTCTTCCACTCTAAATTTTCTCCTTTCAGTTTTGGTCCCTACCAAATATATATAGCCTGATTTTTCTTAAAAAAAAAAAAAATACTTCTGAAAATTACTGTAGTTTTTATATCTATAGTTTTTACCAATAGCTCCTTCACTGTCCTATAAACCATTTTTGATATAAGTTGAGAATTAGACTTCCACCCAATGATCAAATGCTCATTTAGCTTGTTTTCTCCACTGTTTCACCACCTGATCCAAACACCATACCTGATCCATATTTCCTTTCTTTGAAATTATGAACCAACAATCAGATTAATTTCAAAACATATTTATCAGGCAACTATTATATTCCAGCACTTAACTAGATACCGAGGAGACAGACTTTTTACTTTAAGAAGTTTGTAACTAGAGGAGAGACACGTGTGAAATTAGCTATAATTACATTTTTCAAGTGGGAATGTGGACAAGGAAATGACAATTCTGCCAGTGTGGATCTGGAAAATAGAGTGGCATCTGAATTGAGTCTTTAGAGAGGAAAAGCTGAAGAATGCCTCACAATCATAGAAAAAGATGGATTCCTGACCCTTTACAGGAAAAGTCAACGGGACTTGATGGGAGTGAAGAGAAGAGAGGACAGAGAGGATTTCAGAGATAGAAATTCAAGCCTATCCTGAAATTATGGTGGCTTCGTTTTGATGACTTCGAGAATGACAACATGGTTTACTGAGATGGAGAGCTGGAATAAGGAGGAGGCGGGAAGAGAATTCAGACTTGCACAGATTGAGGCTGAGATGTAGAAATGTATGACAGGTATATCAAAGCTGGGTTTAAGAGTAAAGTTAGGAACCGAGGTTACATATGTATAGATAAGAAATCAAGTGTACAAAGATGACAACTGAGCTTGTAGAAACAGATGAGACTGCTGAAGAAGTAGAGAAGAAGGAATGAACCAGATCCTTTGGTAGTGCCTACACTGAGTGATTCTGCCAAAAAAGAGAGCTCTAGAGGCATGAATAGGGAAGTAGAAGCCAAGAAAAGGATACATTTTAAAAACGGAGCCATGCCCAGATCAGTCGACCTATGAACCAGGAGGTCACAGTTCAATTCCCAGTCAGGACACATGCCTGTGTTGCGGGTTTGATCCCCAGTGTGTGGCACGCAGGAGGCAGCCAATCAATGATTCTCTCTCATTGATGTTTCTCGCTCTCTCTTTTCCTTTCCCTTCCTCTCTGAAATCAATAAAAATATATTTAAAAATAAGGCTGTCAAACCCTGGCTAGCGTGGCTCAGTTGGTTGGCCTTCGTCTATGTACCAAGAGGTTGCCAGTTCAATTCCCAGTCAGGACACGTGCTCGCATTGTGGGTTCAGTCCCCTGGTAGGGGTCGTGCAGGAGACAGTGAATCAATGTCTTGCTCTCACATTGATGTTTCTCTCTCTTGCTCTCTCTCTAAAATCTAAAAGTCAATTTTAAAAATACTTTAAAAAGGGGGCAGTCAACTATTAAGAGAAAAATTCAATCACATGAGGATTAGGCCGCCACTGAGTGCCAATTATGTTAGCAATGCGATTGGAGATGCCCCTCCCACTACTGAGGAGTGAGGGTAATGAAACATAAGAAAGCAGGCAGAATATTCTGTAAGGAAGAATGGATGTGGAAAGTACAGAAATGAAATAGAAATCTGAGAGGGAGGTAAGATGGTAGGAAGTTTAAATTTGAGATTTAGATTATGAGTCTAGGTTGAAATAATTTAAAGAACTCATGTTATAAAAACTTTTAAAGCAACAATCAATAAAAATTTCCCCAAAAGACATGTTATGTTTTCTACGAGTAGACAGATAAATGCAAATTTTGATTTCTACAGTGAATAAAATACTTTCGATTCCGTAGCTCTTTGGAAAATAAAATAATGTAAAATATATTAAAACTAAATTATTACCATTTAAGATTATGCTCTAAATAAAAACAGTGGAAAGACAAGGGACGGAGAAACAGAAAACTTAAAATTCGGTCCTATTACCTTAACCAAAATGCCCAGCCTATTCATGATTTTATTGATCTATATTATGAAGGGTTGAATTAGATGGCTTACCAACATATTTTCAAATCTTTAAATTTTGACTCTCTAACTTTAAACCATACATTAGAAGTTTTTAAAAAGCCCAATGTCATCATCTTATGAGACTAAAAAGAGCAGAGTTGCATCTAATTAATATAGCAATGTCTTACTTGGATTGCATGTTGAACCAACTGGACTCTCCCATCTTTGAGGTGAATCAAACTCACCCCCATCTTCTTTAAGATTTCTAAGTGCTCAGGGTTAGTGGCCATGAAATCTCTGGCTCTCAGCGGGGGTTTAGATCCACTCCTGAAACTCTCCTCTCTGCTAAAAGTAATTATAAGCAAGGCTTTAAAAACTACAAGTCAGAACGAGAGAAAAACATAAAGCAAATAGAAATAATGTTAGATATTTGCAAAACTGCTAGTTTTAGAACTAGTGAAAATGGAGTAATTAGGAATAGGCATTTTCCTCCATATAACTTAGGTTACACTAGCTTTCAAATAATATTTTATAGTTATAAAATCATGTATATAGAAATAGGCATTTTCCTCCATATAACTTAGGTTACACTAGCTTTCAAATAATATTTTATAGTTATAAAATCATGTATATAGGAATAGGCATTTTCCTCCATATAACTTAGGTTACTGTAGCTTTCAAATAATATTTTATACTTATAAAATCATGTATATTATCAATAAGGTAGTATTATGATAACCATTTGAAATGATAACCATTTGAAAATACAGAATAGGTTGGGTTGAGATTTATTACTACTGATTTCTTTCTCAAAAAACAGATTTCTGCATTTTAAAAGCAAAACAATAATATCAGTGAATTATAACATTCACTTAAATTTTTTATTTCCTAGTAATGGCCTTTCTAAGTACTTATAAGAAAATGAACTCATTAAGGCAAAAATTTAACAACCAAGGATAAGTATATCAAAAGATAAAACATATTTGCACTCACACACTGCAGGCAAAAGGAAAAATACTTTCTACATATATAAGACGTATGGAAATATTTAATGAAACTATTCCATAAATGAGCTACACAAGTTGGAAACTGCCCATTGACTACTATTATTCAGTTCATTAAACAAAAGTTAAATAGAAAATTTCCATAAGACATCACAGAATAAAATTTGCTATCTAACTTCACTAATAATTTTTATTTTATTTTAATCAGCAATAACTACATGCCACAATATTCTTGGTCTATGTGAATGTCTACTGTTATATGTCCCTTATGTTCTCCTTCCTTTACTAAGAATAAGTCTGATATTAACAAATATAAAATAAGATATCTTACACTCTGATGACGCCTCTAGGACAGCTCTTATCCACCACATTTTTCAAGGGTTCACGAATGCTCTGAGCATACAATGGATCATTAGGGAAGAGAATCTGAGTATTTGGACAAGTCCAATCAAAATTACTGTCATCCAGTTCTATATATTCTGAATTCTACAATGTAAAAGAATGTTAAGTGAATAAAAGTATTTTTTTATTTAGCATTATAGTTTGTTCAAAGAAAAATTTAAATAAAATGTTAAGTATATAGGATGTCATAAAACAAAACAAAATATAAACATCAAGTGTACTTTTCCTCCTCCCATACTACATTTACTGAATTCTAGTCATGGATTACTTTTCACTTGGAAAAAACAAAACAAACACAGGAAAGTAAATAAGAGAGTAAGACATTTGATTAAAAAATATAACCTACTGTGCTCTTCTTAGAGATGCTTTGATTTGTAGTAGAGAGCCAGAGAGGTAACAGATGAGCTTCTGTTGTGAATATGTAATCTTCTATGTCAAAAATAATATCTTCTTTATCCGCAAATAGCAGGTAAAGATATTTAAACATTTCAGCCAAGAAGAAAGAATCCATTCTAAAATAAGAGGGTACAAATAGAATATAAAAATATCCTATTACCAACTACCTGAAAGTCAGAGTCCAGGTCAACAGATCTATTACACTAACTTAGAGGTCCAAGGAACTACAGACTATATCTTGGTGGTTATGGCATTGACTCGCCAAGCATTTTCCAAAGAAACGAAAAGACCAGTGTGCCTGCCTACCACACAGGTACACTAGATCTTGCCAATACTGCACACAAAACATTCCTACTGGCCTTCCAAGGAGCGAGGGTTTTACATTTCTTCTATAGAGAACCAACAGTCAGGAGGTAATGCAGGTAAATTTTACTGCTGAGAAACATGTAATCCTTAATTTATATTAATTGAAGGGGATAAGATAATACAATTTTGATAGAGTTTACTCTGCATCCATTTAAGTGATAATTTAATAAACTGAAATCTAGTTTACCAGCATTATTAATGAATGAAGTGGAGAGGCCATGGGACACAGTGATCAAGAACATGGGCTTTGGAAACAGAAAAGAGCATCCACTGAATAGCTGTGTAACAATGGGGATATTATACAAGGACTGTGAGCTTCAGTTTGTTCTTCTGTAAAGAACATAACAATCATTAACACTTAACACTGGTATAAAGACTAAATAAGAGATTTTATGTCCATTGTTTAGCATAGGACCTGGCATAAATATGAGCTCAGAAATAGAGCAATTATTCTTTTTCCTACCTATAAATGACTTTTTACTTTGGAATAATAACTCATCTGTCACCTGTCAAAACCTTTTGTACATTTTAGATGTTAATCTTTATAGAACAGACAAAATAGTTCCCTGTCAACCTGAGTACACCTGTCATAATTTAATATTTTCTGAAGGATTGACAATTATTATCACAAGCAAATGCTAGCTTGAGAACTATAGACTCATGAGCAGGATATTGATTTTTGACAAATTCTAGAACTGTCTACGAAACAGAAACATTTGAAATACTTGGAAAAAAATAGAGACATAGTAAAATCACTAGGTATTAGTTGGATAAAGCTAGCAAGTTGGATATCTTATATATCTAACCTATATGAAAAATAAACATGTACACAAATGCATCACACACAGGCATTAAAATGTCTTGCCCTGGTGGGCAGCTCAGTTGGTTGGAGCATTGTCACTATAAGCCAAGGTTATGGGTTCTATCCCTGGTCAGGACATATACAAGAATCAACCAATGAATGCATAAATAGTGGAACAACAAATCCATGTTTCTGTCTCCTTCTCTCTCTCTCCCTCCCCCTGACCTTCCTGTCTCTAAAAACCCATAAATAAAAATTTTTTTAAATGTCTGGAAGACTGTTTATTAAATTGCCAACAGTGGTATCTTAGGGTGGGCAAGTAGGAAAAGTGTTTTAGGAAAGGTTTTCTTTTCTTCTTTTTTTTTTTCTTCTTCTTTTTTTGCCACTTAAATTCTTTGCAGTGATCATCTACTATTAGTAAAATATAGAACTTTCCATTTGGAAAACTGGACGTGTGGACACTGGTGAGCCAGATAACTGCACTGAAAGATACGCAGGGAGGAGGCAACCAAATGTAGAGAGCATGTTAATGGAAAGCTGTCAAATGCCATGCCATGAAGTGGTGGTCCTATCCTACAGTCTGCCCCCAAAATTTTTAAGGCATGTTCATCTAAACAGGTAGATTAGCTAATACATTAGATGACTGAGATGAGATTCAAACTCTCTTTCAACAAATATAAACTTTTGTTGGGATGAGTATAAAATTCCAAGTTTACATTAAAAAAAAAAAAAAAAAGTCATTTGCTCAAAAGCAGGGTGGAGAACACCCATTTGACACCAGATCATAGTTAAGTGTCTGAGGTCAACTAGCCACAAGTTCATGGTGAGTTGAACATAATAAAGTTGCTAAAAACAAACAAACAAAACCTCTAAAGCACATCTAATAATAAAACATTCAGATGAGTAGTTTCCAACCTTTTGTTAGGCCAATGCATCAGAGAGGTACATACTGCCATGAGTGAGTCAATGAAGCAGTGATCCTCAATTGCATAGGGAGTGTAAGCCCTTCAGCCCCTTAGAAAATGAGCAATCCCGTGCCTGAATTCAGACGGTAACAGTGCTGTTGTGCCAGGCACCTGGTGAGTTTTTGGTTAATTCTGGGCATGATATTTTAAGATACTTATATACTGGAATACAATAAAAAAGGACTAAAGGCAGTGATAAGAGGTCCAGAAACAATGCCATGAAATTCTCTGTAATTCCTCTACCTCTTTCTACTATAGTACCTATCACATGGTTGTGATTAATTCTGTACACACGTACTTTCTTCACTGATTCTAATAAATCTTTCCATCCTCAAGTTTAAATCCAGTGCCTGGCAGGCAGTAAATGATTAAAAAGCAATCTGCCTTGATTAGAATTAACTTAAGCTTACTAATTGTATGACCTAGGCAAGTTCCCTAACTTTTCTGTGCCTTCGTTTCTTCAGCTATAAAATGAAGATTATAATAAAAATTATACATCAAAAGGTTGTTGTAAACATCAAATGAGTTAAACATCCAAAGTTTTTAGGAGAGTGCTTGGAATGTAGGAAGCAGTCAATAAATGCTACAGATAAATACATAGACTATCTGCTTTCATCACTTGCTATTTGTTATCTATATGTCTGCTTTCAGAAACCTATACATTCTTCATCCATCAGCTGTGCTCAGGGAAGGAGGTCCCAGACCTAATTACCAGTAACTATTACCTAAATACTCTGAGTAAAGGACTAAGGGACAACTCTGAGTAGATGCTGAGTGCTATGTTTCATCTACCTCCAGTATCCTTGCCCGAAACTCCTTCTATCACTCTCTTCTCTCTACTTCTTGCTCATCCTTCATGACACAGAAACCTTTCAGCGATTATCACACCCCAAGTTATATTTCATGTCCCTTTAATATGTTCTGTAGCACTTACCCAATGTTTTAGAGCCTGTTTATCTGCCTGTCCTCAGCGATTCATGACAGGAAATAAATGTTTCTATCATTAATCCTCAAGAACCAGTATAATTGGTGCATAAAACACCTTGAAAAATATTTCTGCAATGAGTATTTGCTAACAAATGAGCAAACAAGCTTACTATTCTTTCAGAGATGTGTAGCCCAGCCAGTGTGAGTCACTGGTTCAGTGTCGACCTATGAACCAAGAGGTCATGGTTCCATTCCCAGTCCAGGCACATGCATGAGTTACAGGCTCAGTCCCCAAGATGCAGGAGTGGCCAATCAATGATCATCTCATCATTGATGTTTCGCTCTCTTTTCTAAAGTCAATAAAAATATATTTAAAAACAGCCGAAACCAGTTTGGCTCAGTGGATGGAGCGTCAGCCTGCAAAATGAAAGGTCCCAGGTTCGATTCCGGTCAAGGGCATGTACCTTGGTTGTGGGCACATCCCCAGTAGGGGGTGTGCAAGAGGCAGCTGATCGACGATTCTCATCGATATTTCTAACTCTCTCTCTCTCTCTCTTCCTCTCTGTAAAAAATCAATAAAATATATTAAATATATATATATATATATATATATATATATATATATATATATATATATATTTAAAAACAAAAAACAGAGAAGTGAGCTTGGAATAACTGAAATGCCAGAGAATATCACATTAACCAAAGCGTGCTTTTTATTACCAAAGAGTACTTTGTGCCATCTATCTATCTAAGTATCCAATGAGTAGAAACTGCCAATGGTCTTTCCCAGCCCTCCAAATCAGCAACCAATAAGAATACACACATTAACCATGATACTGTGGGGGGTTTTTTGAATTCTTGTCTAAAGAAAAATAATCCAGATCATTCATTATCACCTTGATAATTTCTAACAGTTTATATAATATTAAAAAAAAACCACACTATTAACAAAGGAAACTAAAACCTCAATATTCCTAATATTCCTAATATCAAGGTTCTGATATTTAACAACATTTATTCATCTTTTTAAAAATACTTTGAGCATCCACTATATGTCAGGCACTATGATAAAAATATGAACTTTTCAAACAATTAGAACTGAGCTTATTCCAGAGTTTTAAAAATAAACACAACAAAGTAAGGTTTGCATCTTCAAATACTCTTTGTAAAAACATTAAGTGTATCTGAATTCTAACTAGTAGTCGTATTTTTAGGAATTGTTTTACCTGTCCTCGTGACTTCCAGTGCGAACATCCTTCATGGCAGCGAATCCACAAGGCACTCGAGCATATTTATTTAAGTTTTCAATAAGTGTTTTCCCTACTTCAAGGTAGTAAGGGTCTCCTGTAGCCTATTAAGAAGGAGAATAGATAGATGGATGCATACACATGTATGTAGCTTATATATTACCATACATTCATCACATATTTATTGAGCACCTACTAGGTGTCAGGCACTGGAACACACGTTACACAGAACCTCGCTCTGAAAATAAACCATAGATTCTGCTTTACAGAATTATTAAATACATAATTGGAAAGCCATCCAATTGTATATCTTAACCTTTTTCTAATGCCCTCAAAGTTTTCCTGATTAAAAAGCAAGATATATGCTTTAGAAAGCAGCTCTAGAATATAAGTTTCTCTTTAAAGAAATGTTTACATTAATATCATTAAAAGGCATAAAAAACTTAGGTGTTGAGTCTTGCATCTTTTAATAACTCTATGAGCTAGGTGATTAAGAATCATAATATACCCAATCACTATAATATTTTAAAAGGTCTTTGAAAACCCAATTACTATTATAAAATAGTAAGATATACAACGGGGAGGGGCGGGGGGGTTTTTTTTGAACAGCAAAAAGGAAGGTAAATTAGCTTACTTTATACAAGAAGTAGGTACTTTCTGCAAATTCTGGTCTTAAAGGATGTTGAGCCCAATGAACCCTAAAATCTGTGGTAAATGCCTGCACACAAAAAATTCAAATAGACAAGAAAAAAAAATTATGATTAAAAATTAATAAACAAGTAGGTTTAGATATATAAATTAGATCATAAGTAAAAAATTGAAATACTGATAACAATTTTCATTTATAAAATGCAATTTTTCATTGCTTAAAATCACAATTCGTTTCTGCTACACTATTTTTACCAATTAAATGAAATTATTTTTAAAACTATAATTTTGGCTATTAGGAAGCTTAGAAAAAACTATGAAACTAGTAATGACACGGGTCCTGGTGGAATCACATTGTGTTTTTTTCTTTTTCCTTATTTCCACTATTTCTCTTTTATTAAGTTATTATAAGTTACTAAATCTCTAGTTCTCACATTTCTATTTTAGCATATGCTTTCTTTTATAACAACCTCAAATCCTCCGTGGAATAAGAAAGGTATTATTTTAAAATAAAACTAGTCTCACTTGAAATGTATTCAATAACAGAGCCAACTAACTTAGAGGAAAACTAAACCCTTATGAGAACCAAGTAAAATTTCTTTTGTGATAGCATGTATTTAGTTGAAATCTTAGCTTATTCTGAGTGAATATGAATTTTCTACAATACAGTACTCAGTCCTAATCACCTGAAGGCTAATAAAACTCCACTTTCTAACTTTAGAAAGCATTCTAAATTGTAGGAATGCTTAGATATTTCACAGAGGGCACTGAATAAGCAGGGACAGAACAAGGCCATAGATTAATTTGGAAGTTTTCAATAATAAATTTCAGGAAAGCCAAAAAGTATGTTATTAAAATCTTGCCACAAGAAGCTAGCAAGAATATTACTGCCCTAACTGGTCTGGCTCAGTGGATAGAGCATCACCCTGTGACTGAAGGGTCCCAGGTTCGATTCCAGTCAAGGGCATGTACCTTGGTTGCAGGCACATCCCCAGGAGTGTGCAAAAGGCAGCTGATCGATGCTTCTCTCTCATTGATGTTTCTAACTCTCTATCCCTCCCCTTCCTCTCTGTAAAAAAAAAAATCAATAACAAAAATTTTTTTAAAAAAGAATATTACTGATACAATGTATAAAAGCCATGCAGAATAACTGTCAATCTGCATGAGGAAGAGTTGTGATTCCCCATATTTCCAGGGAGCATGTGTGATCAGCAAGAGTATATTCAATGTATATCATTTTTATAGTATAAGCTTTAGAAAATAAAAAGTAAAAGGTTTCCCTGGTGGGTATGTGTAAAAGTTAGAATGTAATAATGTGGAATGTCATGGATTAGCAAAGGTTGAAAACTACTAATTTCGAGTATTTTTTTTTAACATAAAATCAATAAAATGGCAGAATTACTATAAACTAGACTTCTCTGAATACATGAAGCATAAACATATAAAATACTGTATAGACTAAAAAGAAATTAAATAAACTATTTAACCAGGAAAATATAACAGGAAAGAATAGTCAACCTTGAAGGTGACATTTTCTTCCTTTAAATTAGCAACGTGTAGTATATGTGAATTAGAATTCCAAAGATTACTTGCTTACCTCTGGTAGAAAATTGTGTTTTTTAATCACTTGATATAACATTTCATGAGTTTCAATAGCAGGTCTAATATCTCCCTTTAAGACCTAGAAATAAACATAACAACAAAACAGCCTAATAAAACATGAGTTCGTTTTTAAATCTATAATCATTTTATAAACTGGAAAATGTAGATTAATATAATTTTGAGATGTGAGTCTGGTTATTCAAATTTAGAGATTAAAAATGCACTTAGTTATAATCATTTTACTTTTATATTAGGCAATCAGTCACTGGGCTTTTTTTTTACCTGCAGACCTGGAAAAAAGGCAAGCAAAGCATCCATCCAAGTCCGAGCATTCAGCATTGGCTTATGGATATGCACATCGAGTAGCAGAGGGGGCTGGCTGATGTACCGCATGATGGCATCATAGTGCTAAAAGATCACAATGTGTTCAGGAAAGGAGATGAAAAGAGATGAGCTATTCTAAACACAGCACTTCATTAAATAGTACTGTAACGGAATTAAACCTGGATTCATAAATAAATGTATGACATCATTATGTAAATACTTAAATTATTTTAGATGGGAATCTTTCTAAAATATATTGTATATACTTTCCTGTGTTCTTTAACTCTGATGCAGAACATTAAAGACTATAGTCAATATGGGATCTTCTGGGGAAGTAGGTTTGAACATGGCTACCCTGAGGGATTACTCTTGTGGCCCAAGGATGCTCTTACATCCTCTTGAAATATAATTACAGGCTTCTAGATTAATAGAATTAGTTTTGTTTTCTCCTGTGTCTAAAAAAGTTTGGGCCCTTCTCAGCTAAAATAATATTCTAGTGCCCACCACTACCCAAATTAATGAATCTAATTAATCACCATTGCAGCTCTAATGGTCTATGTCTATTAGGCTCTTAAAAACTCTTTGGCTTCTATCTTCTGCTAGTCATTTCTCAGCTATAACAGCAATTTGAACTGTTAAGAGTCAATGAATGATAATGAGCAAAAAAAATTATCTGTCCTTATTTACCTCAAGAGAATGTTGTTATAATCCAAACGAGGACTTATTTGGGACACTACCAGTGTTTTTCCCCCTAACTCATCTACTATTTAATCACACCATATGCATCAACTCATTTAATCCTACCCCAAACTCTATAAATAGTGATAGTGCTGAGATTTTGTGGATAAGGAACAGAGATAATGTAAAGCTATTTTCACAAAGTCACAAACCCAGTTGTACAATCAGGATTTAAAGCCAGGTAGGAAAACTGCCATACTTTTAACTACTATATCATACTGTCTCACAATAATGTGAATAAACTGATGTGTGGGCAAAGAACTGGTAAATTATTTCAAAAAGAATACAGTGATACCACTGATGTGTTTGCTGTACTAATTTCAGTTTCCTTCACCTAGACAAAGGTGATCCAATCAGGTTCAATAATATTCTTCTCCCCTAAAAATATGCCCGTGGCTCTGATCTAGACTTGAGACTTACAGACCTGCTTTTGAAATGAATACTTACTAATTTCTCTAAGTTTCAAAAAACCTGCATGCTTGGTGTGACCAAAGACTATGCCAAACTTTCAAAATTTCAAAAAAAAAAAAGGGGGGGGGGGGGAGAAACTAACAAGTAATTTGTTCCAATAAATTCTCTTCCTTGCATAAAATATTAGATATTACTTACTGGCAGATCTTGAAATCTTCTAATAAGAGATGAAAATAAAACTACTTTGTAAACTAATTTTTGAATGTAAAGCTTTTACCCTGTACCTGGCCAATATCACCAGGGAATACTGACAACCTACTACAGCACATTTAGAAATAATTATTTTTCAGAATATAACTCAAATAATTGAGTTTTTATCAAAATCTGGCACTCAAATTACCTTGGCTCTAAATTTAACACAAAATTGAATCAACTTACTGTATTAAATCTTTCCAGAAAACTGTCATCTCCAAGCAAGACATAAGCTTTCAACAGATATTCATAATAGGAATCAATGCCAGCTCCAACTCCACTATCTATAGAAAACACATATATAATTCTTTATTAAACTAGTAAAAATTTATTTATATAATACAAGTGAGGGTACCAGTACACTCAATGAAAAATTAATCTATACATGAAACTGTTTAAAGTAAATATTACACACAGAAATATTAACCCTATTATATGAATAATTGTTCTTTTGTTCATAGTTTATATGTTAAAAAATGCTACTTTGCAAAATGGTTTACAAAAGTATTACTGAAAAGCAGGAAACACTACTTTTAAGAACGTTTTAAGTTCATTTTCTCAGAGAGGAACTCCAAAGAGGAATCACTATTGTGTATTTTTTTTATCAGACCCTTAATCAGGAAGACTAATGTTTAAAGTTATAATAGGTACATAAACAAAGCTACCATTTGGATGTATCCATTCTAATTGCTAAAATTAGTACTGATTGTTGGCTTCTTCCTCCAAGAATTTCATAGAGATTTAAAAAGAGAAAGTAACAAGGAAAGTATGAAACTGGTGGCAAGGGGTAGGGTTTGGGGAGGGGCGGGTGGCTTTGGCCTGGAGTGGAGGCAGCCAGGCCTGGCTACAGAAGATCAAAGAGGAAGGACACTGTTGGAGCTTCGCTCTTGCTTCTCTCCTGCCATGGCCTTAAGACACACCGTCTCCTCCCACACCTGCTGCGAGGCAGATCTATGCTCCAGGTATCCTCAGGGGTAAAACCAGGGCAGCACAGAAGCCCTGCAGAGGACCTGAACAAATGAGGCAGAAAATAACTTTAGACATTCTCTTCCCCACCTTTCCCCTCCAAACTCCTAAGGCTAGTGAATTACAAATCTAAATTATATTTACAATCTTGGAAATCTCTATACCCAGGGCACACTCCAGGGCAACTGAATCACAATCTCCACAGTTCCAGGCATCAGTATTTCTAAAAACTTCTTAGAATTCAAGCCTAATACCACTGAGCTAGATAGAAATTGGGATTTGACCTTGCGTCAAAGTAGGGGAGAAGGAAATATGAACTTATAGGTCCAAAACATTTAATAAACATGACTTTTAAAAGAACAAGAGAATACTAGAGTAGGAGTATATCAGAAAAATAAATAGAACAGCAAACCAAAAAAATTTAAATTAGGCTAATAAACATTTAAAAGTGATAGGAAAGATATTAACAATACAAAAATTTTTTAACTGAGCAGAAATATATGAAATAAAATATGTTAACAGTTGCCCGGTCAGTATTGCTCAGTGGTTGAGTATTGACCTATGAACCAGGAGGTCATGGTTCAATTCCCGGTGAGTTCGCATGCCCGGGTTGCACACTCGATCCCCAATAGGAGACATGCAGCAGGCAGCCAATCAATGATTCTCTCTCATCATTAATGTTTCTATCTCTATCTCCCTCACCCTTCCTCTCTGAAATCAATTAAAAGAAAGTATTTTTTTAAACTAGGGACTTTAAAATATATACTTAACAGTTAAAATAATGTAATAGATGGGACATAAAACTGATAAACGTAATATACGTACACATATGCTAAGATATATGGAGGATACAAATAGAAGTGATTTTGATAATAGGAACTACAAAAAGAGGTAAGTAAAAATAAAAAGGATAAAATATCTAAAAAATAAACATCAATTTTTCATAAATTAAAAACAAAGATTTTAAATAGAAAGTCCACAGAATACCAAAATGAGAAAATTCTACATCTAAAATTATAACAACATTTTTAGAAATTTCTCTTTGGTTTGATATTCTTCCTCTTTCAGAGAGAAAGAATAGATCATACATACAAAGGCATAAAAATCAGGATAATATCAGATTTTTAACAGAATATAAGAAGGCAATAGAGTTGTATTTTCAAAGACTTCTTTGAAAGAAAAGAACTTAAATAGAAAATTATATCCAGTTTAACTGTCACTCAAATGTGAAAGCATACTAAAATTACTGTTAGGCATATGAGGCCTCAGAAGTTATTTAAAGCTACTGAAAACAGTTTGGGATAAATACCAGGAAAAAAAATAGAAACAAATCTAAGAGAAATTGCAAGTAATATACAAAGTACAAGTGACCAGCCCTGGCTGGTTTGGCTCAGGGGATAGAGCATAGGCCTGCAGACCAAAGGGCCCGGGGCTCAATTCTGGTCAAGGGCACATACCTTGTTTGCAGGCTCCTCCTCAGCCTGGGGCCTGGTCGGGGCTCATACAAGAGACAACCAATCAATGTTTTTTTCTCACACTGATGTTTCTCTGTCTTTTCCCTCTCTCTTCCCCCTCTCCCTAAAAGTCAATGAAAAAAATATCCTGGGATGAGGATTAAAAAAAAAAAGCTCAAAGTATAAGTGACTAAATATCTTAATAAAGTTTATCTTTAAAGAAAGAGGGAGTCAGACCAAAGAAAAAAGAGTAAAGGTACTCATTCATAATGAATAAGAATGCATTATCTGCATGATATCAACAAAAAGAGGGATTATGGAGTGGAGTTGGGGGGAGACAAAGAGATAGGAGAGCTTACTAAAGTTCATGTCTTACTAGAAGGCAATTATAGTGTTCAATTAAAAATTAAAGATAAACAGAAAAGGTGGGACACAATCAAGTGATAAAGATGGTATAAATAAGTCCAAATATATTGCAGAGGTATGAAGAATCAAGGATCACCTGCAAAAGTAACAGGTTGTCAAGCAAGTTGCTTTTGTAATCGATGATCCATTTGTGGGTGCTTGTTACATATTAAAAATATAATCCTATATCCTGTTTACTCATATAACATTGTTATATGCTTTATCTCATAATTTAAACTAATTTTGTAAGAATTATTAAGAACATTGTTAAATACAGATTTCCACTTAACTATACTTTCATGTGAGATGGCTAAGGTATTCTGATGGCTGAGGTTCTCAAATTAGTTCTACTGTTTCAACTACACCCTCTATCTTTAATTCTAAATCCATTAAGGTATGAAATCGAACACTAAATCACCTATTTAAATATAATAAAAGTATGCTATTATTTGGCACACCAAAGAAGAAAATCAGTCTAATTAATGATAATTCCAGGATTCATGTGAAAAACACTGCTTTATACTGTCTCAAAGATTACTTTAACAAATGAAAATCCTTTATTTCCCAACCATTCTAAGGATATTGAGCAGTGGTTCCCAACCTTCTTTTGGCCATGCCCCACCTAAGCATCTCTAAAATCCTGATGCCCCGCTGTGACATATAATTCTTATTATTCAAAAAGTGAACTCCTATTCACACGGAGGAAGCATAAAAGGCCATTAATTTGGTCTAAACAAGCTTCCAAAGAACATGGCATCCATGAAAGAGAAAAATAAAGAACAAAAGGACAGTTGAAGTGCTAAGGAAGAAATCATTAAGAAATTGTTAAAAAGAGAGTAATAAAGTGATATGAAAAAAATAGCAAATAAAGTTCTAAAACGTATCATAGAGAACTGAAATGCATAAATATGTCACAATATATATTTATATACTATATACTAGTATGAGGCCCCTAGAACCATAAGAAATGCAAAAAAAATCACTGTTAATAACTCATTCTCGAATTGTCTCCCTTAAAAACCAAATTGCTCCCCTGTGGGGTTGTAGCCCACTTTGGGGATCACTGATGTAGAAGCTTGATTTTAAAAAGCCAACTTACATACCTTTTCGCACCCAATCTCCTGTATGGATATTTATGGTCACACCTACTAAATTACTACTTCGCTGTCTTTTTTCCCAGAGAAAATCAAGAGCTTTTCTAGCATATTCCTGTAAATTAAAAAGAGGAAAAGCATACTTGAATAACTTCATGTCTCTGGAAAACAGGAAAAAAAAAAAAAAATCAAAGGCCCATAGCATACTTTAAGGATTAACTAAAATTCCCAAGATAACAATTAATAATATATGTTAAATTTCCTTGCAAGCCAAACGGCTCTTTTTCAGCCAAATTTAGTTAAAAAGAATAGTTCTAAAAATGCTATTTATCGGTCTCAGTTCCTGTCCGAGCTTCTGGTTTTCTCATTCCAAACTTTAAATTAATCTAAATAAAATCATCAGGTGAAACCATCCAGGTTCATTTACTCTTGTAGTACAAGTTCACATTCACACACATGTATTATTAACATGTACTAATTTCTGGCATAATTAAATGCATTTGATAAAATAATTTTTGTCACTTAAATTCAAAGTGAAAATCTCCTTAGATACTCTCATTTAGAAAATTGGAGAAGACACGTTCGTACATCATCTTTGAAACAAACAGGCATATCAGATCCACTTTTTAAATAGCATGTAATACATCTTTGTGAGAGAAGTCAATAAATCAACTAGTGTTCATTTGGAAAATAGTGTTTAATATATTTATCTCACAATGACTTCTATATTTTCTGATAAAGACTGTGATAAAATTTAGACAAAAGTTCAATAAAATATCAGTAATCTTTTGATTGATAATCCTAATAGTTGACCAATGAGGAAAAGATATAAAATCAGTTATGCCCAATACCCAGGAGAGCAAAGACTATGAAAAGCAAACCTCAAATATTGTTGCTCCTGTGAATCGACTTAAAGCAGCAAACTCAAGGATCAAGGTACCTGCACATGCTGTACAGGTATCGGTCTCAGTTCCTGTCCGAGCTTCTGGTTTTCTCATTCCAAACTTTAAATTAATCTAAATAAAATCATTAGGTGATTATTAGCAATTATCAAAAAATAATGATTCCTAGATGAGTCAAAATTTTTTAATCAAGACTTATCACAATATGAAAATAATTCACAAAACAACTAAACACTGAAATTCCATCTGTTGAGCTTTGTGACTTTCCAATTAACATCTAGGGAAATATATTCATGGAGCTAATAAGTTTTCATTCAGTTCCTTTCTCAACAATATTGAAACTCAATTCACTGTAAAAATTACACAGAGAAAATAACTTCTGTAACAATTCTGTTTGCAGGACATTTGAACTAACTAATATAAGAATAGGGAACTAGACCAACCCTAGATTGAGAATCTGAAATTAGGATTGAGAATCTGAAAAACCAGTATATTAAGTAGTTCTTCATAAAGAAAACACTAATTAAGTCATGGTCTGTATTTAAAAGTAAATTAAAATTTTGTTTTCAGGTTTTAAAAGTTTTGAAATATAGAGTACAGTATGCTGCTTTGCTAATAGACTAACAAATAGTACAAAACTTTTTTTTTCAAAGGAGTACTTTTTTATAATTCAAAACAGCCATACTGTCTTTTTATGATACTACAAAATAAACCTGGATTAACCAGAACTAAATTGACCAGAAATTGATTAAAAATATGTTTTACGATAGTTCAAATAAATAACCAAAAAGAAAATATATGCCAAAGATTTAACATAAAAACAAAAAATCAAATATAAAACATCATGAGTATGTTCCCAAACTGCAGAAACCAATCACTGGGGATGCCTATTACCTTAATAATGCCAATCAACAGACTCTAGGACTATCTGAGCAAGGAGAAAGGAAACATCAACACACAACAGAAGTGAATGGAGGTGAGACAGGGGGAGTGGGGTGCTATGTTGGCTACAGTACTGCACAAAAATGATGATTCACATTTTTTTCTCATTAAATTAACAAAAGAATAATAATATACACTAATGGCAACAGTACAATAACACATATAGTTTTATACAACACTGAGAAACTATAAAAGTAGAAACTTTCTGAAGAACAATTGACAATAAGTGCCAAAATCTTAAAAAGCATTCTCTATTTCTGTGGCTTATTATTTCCTATTCTAGTAATTTATCCTATGGAAGAAATAAGTATAAAGACATGTATAAAGAAGAGATATTTAAAATATCAAAAACTAGAAATTTAAATAAGAGATTTAATACTAGTTTGTTTCAAGGGGGGGAAAAGTGTTGGTTACAATCCATTATATGGGTGTGTAAAATCAATGGGCTATGATCTCTAATTTGAAAAGCATTGCTCTAATATCATGCTGTATCTCTAGTCAGCGACTTCTTGATGAAGAAATGAGTCTTATTTGATTTATATTGGTAAAGGGGTTATTCCAGATTATAGAGATGCAGGCTTAATGGCATGGCAATGAAAAAAATCAATAAGTAAAACCCCAGGTGGTTTAGGGAACACTAACAGATTGTTTTGAAATGAAATACTCATTTCACTGAGGTATAGGGTATGACAGACCATTAGAAAGGAAGTTTATTGCCACACCATAAGGAATTCTGAAAGTGAAGGCATTTAGTACAACAGACAGAGTCAATGAAACTTGTACACATCAAATTGAGGATAATTTGATAAAAATGTTTTAGTAAGATTAATTTGTTAAGTCTCTAAAACATAAACCAGAGAGAAAAGAGTAAAACAGGCATTTACAATAGCTTCACAATGAAATGATATTGGTTTCAACTATAGTAGTAGCAATAGTAGCAATAAGAAAAAATTGAACAGAGCTTGGTAATGGCTGAGGTGTCTGATTTGGATAAGAGGGAGAGAGTAATGGTGTTAATAAAGAATGAAATAAATCAGGAGAGAGAGGTTTTTCTATCTCTGAAGGCTTCTAACCCTTTGCTTTAAATAGAACCTTTTTTTCTTGGGGGGAGGGGGGCACACAGCATAAAACTTTCAAATGACTCTACCATCAAATGACTCTTTAACCAATAGAGAAGAAATTTCAAAATAAATGGTCCTATACTTTCATCAACTGAACCCTTCTTTCCATTTGTTCTACCATGATACATCTTCAAGGCACCCTTTGCACACAGTTCTAACGTTTTCTAGAACATCTCCTTTTGAAGCTTTCTATTTAAGATTTTATGATGCCATACACTACTTTGTACTTCTCCTCCCTATGTCCCTGAACACTCCCCTCCTCAATGCTCCACTTGCTCCCCATTCCCCTCCTCTCTCTAAACTCTCCTCTGGAAAGTTCACCTACTCTCACTGCTTCTACTGCATCTTCTGCACCACCCATTCAGTGCCCAAACATCTTGTTTTCCCCTCTGCAGCATAATCTAATCTGTTATGCAGTGACACACAAAAGGTTTAAAATCATCTAAATTTTCACACCACTCAAATCCAAATTAACTGAAATGTCAATATAAATTTGTTATTAGCTATAAAGCACTTGTCTCCAGTCTCAAGCAGGAAAGGAACAATGGCTCCAATCACAAAAATTCACTGTTGTTTTAAATAGCAAAGGCAGTATATAAAGACTTTATATATAAAAAAATATGAAGTATATATTTTTCAGAATTACTTACTCTTGGATAAGGAAGGCCACTGGTGGTATTAAAAGCTGGTAAAAGCTTGTAACCCAACTGCTTTGCCATTTGCAGAAGTTCATCATTGTACCACTGCATGTACTCGCCCTTTTCTTTCAGCATGATTGCCAATGAGTGTCCACCCAAAAGACCCCTGCAATCATAGAGGTGAAACATGGCCCATATCTTACAGGTACTTGAACGTCACCGCCTAAAAAAATCTAGGTGCTGCCCTAGCCAGTTTGGCTCAGTGGATAGAGAGTTGGCCTGTGGACTGAAGGGTCCAGAGTCTCATTTCCGGCAAGGCATGTGCCTGGGTTGCAGGCTCAATCTCCAGTAGGGAGTGTGCAGGAGGGAGCCAATCAATGATTCTCTCTCTCATCACTGATGTTTCTTTCTCCCTACCTCTCTGAAATCAATAAAAATATATTTAAAAAAAAAGATGTGAGTGTCTTGTTATCAACAACTTTGCACAAATACGATCACGAAAGAACTTAATTTCTTACCTAACCCTAGCTACTCATTTATGGCAAACTTTTATAATTATAATTAAAAAAACTTTTATAAGTATTAAAAAAAATCAGATATTCTACCTGTTATAAAGTGTCTAGCATTCTTTAAAGCCTAAAATTTTTTTAAAGAACATCAAAGAAGTCACTTATCAATATTTTAACAAGCTTGACAAATTTAATTTTTTTAAAAATTAAACTAATTTAATTATATCATTATGCAATCTTTACCTCTCTTAAGTATAACATTAAAAAGTTAAAAACAAAAAGCTATATAACTATTTCTTAATTTGTTTTTAACTTTTAAAAATTATTTCTTAAATTTAATTGAACAGACTTACTTTGATAAAAGAAAATGAGTTCAACATAAAAGTAACCATTAAATATAGAAACTAATAGTGTTGAGGTCTGAATATTGCAACTCATATTTTTAAATGTTTCAGTATTTCAAATTGTGTAGTTGAAAGGTAATCCTATACATTTAGTTTCATTTGGCTTGAAGAAGTGCTGGCAAAGGTTAGCAAACTATGTTGCTAGGGAAAAACCTGTGATGTAGCTAAGAGGCAAGCATTCAACTGAGTTTTTTAAAACAATAAACAGGGATGTATACCAAGTCTGTAACTATTTCCAAAACCTGCTGCTACCTGAGCCTGATTCAATGCACAGTCTTCTCACAGCCTGTTTCATACCCCAACTCTTATCTTTTAAGCATAAGAAATGTCTTGCTTTACTACCATTAAGAAATAAATAGTATACCTTCAGCTTTTGTTATTAAAATTATAGCTTTAATGTCTTACATACTTACCCAAGAACTCTGATGTTTGTTTCAAAGACTGATACAACTACATCATTATCTAAATTAACATCTCTTAAAACTTTTTTCACTGCATCTTCAAATTCTTTAGTTTTATTTAATACCTATAAAAAAAAGTATAAAAATCAAGTTATTTACTACAAAGTAAAAAAAAAAATATCCTCAGAATAAGCTACTAAAAGCAAATTAACATCTTATGACTATAAAAAGTGACACATACAAAATATTTCCCTTAGGGACTGCTTTGGCTCGGTGGAAAGCGCGTTGGCCTGTGGACTGAAAGGTCCCTGGTTCGATTCCAGTCAAAGGCATGTACCTTGGTTGCGGGCACATCCCCAGTAGGGGGTTTGCAAGAGGCAGCTGATCGATGATTCTCTCTCATCGATGTTTCTAACTCTCTATCCCTCTCTCTTCCTCTCTGTAAAAAATCAATAAAATATAAATTTAAAAAAATTATAAATGTTTAAAAAAAATTTCCCTTAAACATATAATAATGTCATATCTAAAATGAAAACAAACAAGTGCTTAATTATATTATAAGGAATCTTTATAAAGTTTTTAAGACACTGAAATATTATTAGGACTTTAATCAATCATCATCAGAACTGTTAACTGGTTTCTTAATGTATATAACCCATGACCTACAGCTACCACAGGGATGTGGTTTCCAAGTCTAAACAAAAAAAAACCATCCTATGCACTAAACATAATTTTAAAAGTTACTTCCTAAAAGAAAGCACATCCTTCAGGGGATGATCAACTGACCCTAAACCAAACACCACCTGCCACCTTCACCACGTGGACGCCCCCACTCTTAACTAAGGAGGCAGTACAATTTGAGGTCAAGAGCAAGCTCTGATTTGAATTTTGGTTCCTTCTCATTACCTATCTAATCACAGTAATTTCTATCTCTGAGTCAGTTCCTTCATATACACAAAGAGGGGATACTTATTCTCATAGGATTGTTTTCTTAAATGAAGCAATGTATGTGAAGTACTTCCAGTAGAGTACTTAAGTGATATGATGATGATGACTACCACCATGAGAGTCTAGAAACCTGACTAAGCTAAGAACTCCGTGGATTCTTGTGGTGAGTTCCATGAAGGGGTCACTGTCCCTACACAGGCTGCATTGATTTTTCAGTCTAAATTACGATGGCACAATTAGATGTTATTTAGAGCCTAGATCCCTTAAAAGTAGTTTTCTGATCCTGGCTAGGTAACTCAGTTGGTTAGAACATCATTCTCATATGCCAAGGTCGCAGGTTCGATTCTTAGGGCACATACAAGATCAACCAGTGAATGCACAATAAGTGTAATAACAAATCAATGTTTCTCTTTCTCAAATCAATAAATAAAAATTTTTAAGTAGTTTTCTTTTGCTTAACTGTTTAATCTTTTCATTTGATAATATTCTGTAATGCTTTTTTACTTGATTTGATACTCATTAAAAATTTTAACTTAGACATAAAATAGTCCATAAGAATACCTGAATGAAATTCAGGTAAAAGTAAAATTCAGGGTAAGGACTGAGTAAAATAAAATATAAAACCTGATTTTAAATTGACTGCTTTCCCTTCTCATTCTCAAAATCTATGTAAATTCTGCAGCAACAACCTTAAGCTGACATACCTATAAATTAGCTGAGTATCTCCATAATTTTACAGAATTTTATCTGACATTCATAACTCTATTGAGTGTAAAAGATTTATTTACAATAGAAGCAAAGATCAATATATATGGAATTCTAAAGGCTTCTATTTCAGATTTACTATGTGCATATTATGAAATTTATAACATAAGTAAATTCAAGAAGAATCAAACCTACCACAAGAGTGTCCAAAGAATCAATCAGTGTCAGGGAAAATCTAAGAAAACAAGTATAATGAGACACAAAACATTAGAATTCTGATTATTTTAGCCATGAATGTATAAGCAGATGGATCTATATCCTACTGACTGGCAGTTTCTATTAACTAGTACCCCATGCATCTGTAGTACAATTTAACTTATAAGGCACTGGAAGAACTGTAAAAGCCTTAACATTATATTTCTTTTCGGCTCCACATCCTTCAAAATGAATAGGAATATTTACTAGCACTTTTTAATGCAAATAAAAACATTAAAGCATCAACACATTATGTCAATGACTTTATACACGTTAAAAGTGACATCCTTTTTAAACAACTCGACTTTTCACTGATCTAAGAGGCAAATTAATTAATTTTTTACAGAAGACAACAGAGGGAATAAAGAAACTTAATATAATACTTAAAGCAGTCACTGAAATTCAAGCAATCCCAGAAACATGACCGTACACTGCTCCTAAGAAGTCTCAGACTTAGGAACGTTCAGATGCCTGCCATCCTGTATTAATACTCACTTTCCCAAGGCATCGTCAACATCACCCCGACTTGGCTCCTCGCCTCTAATTCGACCTCTGCAGGTTAAAGGCATGAGTTCATCAGCTGGGTAAGCATGTTCCTACAAGGAAAATCTGAATGAGTCACTAGTGAGACACATCTTTAGAGAAGAAAACCTTTTCAGTTTTGTTTTGTTTTTTAAGTAAAATAAAGGCTAGTCAGCCGGCACCGGTTTGGCTCAGTGGATAGAGCGTCAGCTTGTGGACTGAAAGGTCCCGGATTCGATTCCAGTCAAGGGCATGTACCTTGGTTGCGGGCACATTCCCAGTAGGAGGTGTGCAAGAGGCAGCTGGTCGATGATTCTCTCTCATCGACGTTTCTAACTCTCTATCCCTCTCTCTTCCTCTCTGTGAAAAATCAATAAGATATATTTTTTTTAAAAAAAAAGGCTAGTCAAAAAATGCTACCATTCTTAGAGTCTATGGAATCTTTATTTAAAATGTAGTTATAAATGTAAATACATGCTTTAAAAAAATAAGACATTTCTTTAAAAACATGATAATCTGCTTTCCCTCCACCCAACTTTATTCAAAAAAGGTAACTACTGTTAGGATGGGAGTTTATCCTCTCAGATTTATTTACATATATTAAAATATATGAACATATATCATTAAAAACTTTTATTTGCAAATAGGTGCTAATGTCATATGAACACATTTCTCTAGAATAAGTTTACTTAAATTATGGTGGGATTTTCCATGCTAGAATTTTATAAATGCCTTTTATTCTTTTTAATAACTGCAAAGTCATACTTTAACAGACTAATGTTATGGAGCACTAATATTTTAAGCACTGATCTATACAATTTGGTTTAATGTCACACAAATAGATTCAATTACCTCCATTCTATAGATGACGAAACTGCGGCCCTTTGTCATGCATTTGGCAAATGAGAGATTCAGAATGCAAACCTGACAACCTGACTCCAGAGCCTCCACACTTCACAGTGCCCTCTCCTCACCGCATTCCAGAGTACACGCTGAAATTTACTTATTCCTCTAGTGATAAACAACATATAGGTTGAACTCCATTATTCACTACATCAAATCCTATATAATAAAAGCCTAGCCAAAACGGTTTCGCTCAATGGATAGAGCATCAGCCTGCGATCCCAGTCAAGGGCATGTACCTAAGGTGTGGGCATGGGCACAACTCCAGTAGGGGGTGTGCAGGAGGCAGCTAACAGATTTTTCTCTCTCATTGATGTTTCTAACTCTCTATCCCTCTTCCTTCCTCTCTGTAAAAAAATCAATAAAATATATATTTTTTAAAAAGCCTAATATGCTAAGTGTCCAACTGCTTGTTCGACCAGTCATGATGATGCACACTGACCACCAGGGGGCAGACACTCCAACTGGTAGGTTAACTTGCTGCTGGGGTCTGGTCAATGGGGACTGGATAAAATGGGTCGGACACGCCCTGGAGCCCTCCCTCGGTCCCTCTCCGGCCCCGATCATGCACCAGTGGGGTCCCTCAGCCTGGCCTATGTCCTCTCACAATCTGGAATCCCTCGAGGAATGTTGGAGAGCCAGTTTGCCCCAACCCCTGCAGGCCAGGCCAAGGGATCCCACCAGTGCAAGAATCCTTATCTTTTGCACACATGTCTGTATTGCTATGGATTAAACCCCTACAAGCAGACCCAATGGGTCAAAGGTATGGATATTTAATTTTTGATAGCTACTATCAAACTGAAGACATCAATTTATACTTTCTTATTCCTTCTTTACTTGTATGCCCATACGATTCTTAATTTTTAAAGTGCAGCAACAATATTCCTAATTCCAAGTCCAACTCTATCCTAAACTCAATTATGTAATTCCAAACTCACAGCACATTAGCAGCAGAAAAGTAAAATAGAGGTCAGGGACACTAAGCACATGGCCAACAGAAAGGGAAAGACCCTCCCACGTGGCCCACATAATTAAAGTAGGCTAGAGAATACAAAAAGCATTGAAGACTGCAGCCCTCTAGGTATTTTAAAAGTACAACAAATGTTTTGATATAATTACACTTCATGTGCAGCTACTAAATTCTGAATTGGATATTTTGTAATTTTATATGTAATTTTTAGTTTAAATTCCTAATTATTTTAATGTGTCTTTTACATGACAAGTTCCTAACTACTTTTTCAGTGTTAATTCCAATAGAAATGTAATTTCACAGAAGGCACACTATTTTTATTACTTTACAATTTCATATTAAAACTTATAAAAACACTTAGAAGTAACTTAAAGTAATATTTTTTAAATTTGCTAATGTATTTCAAAAGATATCATTCAAATATTAATTTGATTTTTAAAAGTTCCTTTAAGATCAAGAGTAACTTAGAAAGCCTCATACTGCTATTTTTAGGGTTTTGCAACACATACACACAGACAAACACTGATGTCTGAAATTAAATATGAAACTCAAACCCTAAGCTTAGCCAGATAAGAAAAATATTAATAGCAATTGCAAACCAGAATAATCAAATAAGGGAGTTTTGAACCAGGTGTAAAAATACTTCATGTTCTCCTGTTTCAAGATTAAGGATAAAAACAAAACCACAGCCTTTTCAAGTTAACCACAAAGCAAGCTACAGTTGGTTTACATAAATCCAGAATAAGGCATACGTGGCAAACAAACATCCTGGCTACTTGCAGTACACTAGTACTTGCTCTTCACAATGTACTAAGGATACGTAATTCACATTGCTATGACTCAGAGCCATAACCAACATTTAATAATGATCTCTGAGAAACAAAGCTCAGGGGATAAAACAGTTCAGTATGAATTAAATAGTACGTGTGCCTAACTAAAAAAGAAAATTAAATAAAACAAAACACATTAGACTCTCCACATTAGATTCTAAACTTACTAGAGTTTTAAAGTGATAACTGTCTGTCTAAAAACACTCAAGTCAAAGCAACATCAAAAACTAACTTTTCATAAAACCAATCCCAAGAACTAGGCAAAAGAAAGAGACTTTATTCTACTAAAAATAATAAAATAAAAGTGTTATTTATAAAAGTGAATTATTAAAAATATCCAATCTGTTTAATTTAAAATAAAATTATGTACATTTTTAAATGTTTTATTCATTTCTAAATGTTTTAGAAATATTAACAACATCCCTCCTTGAGGAAGATATTCCATCCTAAAATAAAAGTTAATGATATTTATTAAACCATCTATACCATACTGACAGAATGTTAATTAATGATTTTATTTGCATAATTTATCAGTTCTTCTTCATCCTGGGTTAAATTTTCCTATTCCCTTCTGCTCACTATTTATATCCATTTAGCTAACCATTTTTCAAGCATTTAGGATTACATTTATTTGAATTTGATTAATGATAAAATTAATCGACCTCATGAAATGTTATATGAAATAAATGACAATATATAATAATGTTACAATGAAATAAAGTCCTACCACTAACAGATATTTTTAGGAAGATTATCTCAATAGATATCGAAAAAGCACCTGAGAAAATTCAATACCCAGTAATGATGAAAATTTTCAGCAAACTAGAAAGGAACTTAATCTAATGTAAGGCATCTAAGAAAACAAACAGTTAACATCACACTTAACAGTAAAGAAAACTTTTTCCCCCTAAGATTAGGAGCAAGGCAAGGATCTCACAATACCTTTTCAACATAATGTTAAAAGTTCTAGCCACTGCAATAAGAAGAAACAACAGGAACAAAGAATGAAAGAAGGAAAAGTCTCTTTGTTTGTAAATGACATGATTGACCATGTGGAAAATGTTAAGCAATCTACCTCAAAAAGCTACTAAAAATAACACAAGTTTAACAAGGTTTCAGGATATAAGGTTAACAGACAAAAAGGTTTTTGTATTTCTGTATAATATTGATGGACAATTAGAAATTAAAACTTGAAAAACTAAAACGTACAACAGCATCAAAAATATGATTTATGAATATAGCAAAAGATGTGCAAGACCGAAGTTATGAAAACTATAATACATTACTGACATTAAATAAGATCTAAATAAGTGGACAGAGACACCATATTGGATTGGAAGACTGAAAACTGTTAAGTCAATTTCCCCAAATTGATCTAGAGTCAACATAATCTTAGTCAATGGCTCAAGGGGCTTTTCTTTGTTTTTGTTTTTGTTTTTGTAAAACTGATAATATGATTCTAAAATTAACATGGAAATTCAAAGAACCTAAAATATTTAAAACAAATTTGAAAAAGAACAAAGCTAAAAGACTTTTAATATCACTCTCAAGACATTTCTGAAATTGGTATGCCGGAAATATTTAGATCAATGGGGGGGAAAAATCCAGGATCTGGAAAGAGATTCATGCATTTAAGGGTAACTGATTTTACACAGGTGCCAAAGTAATTCAGTAGAGAATAGGTATTCTATTAAAAAAAACTGTGCTAGAATAATTAGATATCCACATAGAAAAACTATACATATAAATCAACCTTTACCTTACACCACATATAAACATTAATTTAAAAATGGATAATAGATTTAAAGAAACAAGCTAAAGTTATAAACACCTAGAAGAAAACAGGAAAATCTTTGTGACCATGGGTTAGGCCAGTGATCGGCAAACTCATTAAGTCAACAGAGCCAAATATCAACAGTACAACGACTGAAATTTCTTTTGAGAGCCAATTTTTTAAACTTAAACTTCTAACGCCACCATCTTCAAAATAGACTCGCCCAGGCCGTGATATTTTGTGAAAGAGCCACACTCAAGGGGCCAAAGGGCCACATGTGGCTGGCGAGCCGCAGTTTGCCGAAAGCTAGCTAGGCAAATATTTAGGTAGGATATAAAAGACATGAACCATAGAAGAAAAAAGGGTACATTGGACTTGGTTACAATTTAAAACATTTGCACTTAAAAAGACATTGTTAAGGAAATTAGAAAAAGCTAGAAGATGGTGGCACAGGTAAAAGCGATAGTCACTGCCTCCCACGAGCAAATTGAAATTACAACTAAAATACAGAACAACCACCATTCAGAACTGCCTGAAAGCTGGCTGAATCGAAGTTCTACAACTAGAGGAATAAAGAAGAAAGCACACTGAGATTGG